GCCTGTCCCACGCCCACCACCACTTCACCACCATATAACCCTTTCTCCCATTAACCTCCCCTCTTCACTTCTGAAAAAATATCCCAAAGAAAAACACGTCAGCCATAGAGCTCCCCACCCGCGAGGGCGAGGTCTCCCGACCTCTGCACACCCTGGACCTCCTTGGGGCTGTGTCCATGTCCCATCTTGACGCGCCTACACCCCTACCTCATCCCATGCCGCCACCGCGTGAGAAACCGCAAGCAGTGCTTGAATCACCACAGCCGCCGGCGCCGCTGATGATGTCGCCTCTGCTTCCGCTTTACAAGCAGCGATCGTGGTCGCCAGACATTTTCCGTGACGAGGCATGGCTTAGGAGGAAGGGAAACAGCAAGAACAAGAGAAGCAAGAGCGTGACGGACGAAGACCTTGATGAACTCAAGGCTTGTATTGAGTTGGGGTTCGGGTTTGACTCCCCCGAGGTGGATCAACGTTTGTCTGATACTTTGCCTGCTCTTGGTCTTTATTATGCTGTTAACAAGAACTACATCGACACCGTATCAAAGTCGACGTCGTCTCCTTCGGCTGCATCGGATTGTGATAGTATTCCTTCCCCTATAGGCAGCCCCCACACCATCTTTGGCCCTGGTAAGTAATGAATCCAGATGGTATTAATTTTGTTGGAATTTCTCCTTGTTTTTTCCGATTCAATTGATTTTGATTTTATTCTTTTGTGATTTGGTGAAGGTGACAATCCACAGACTATGAAGACAAGGCTGAGGCAATGGGCGCAGGTGGTTGCTTGTTCCGTGAGGCAAAGCTCATGATGAGGATGATGGATGCGTCGCATAGCTCGATATGATGATATTCAGGGTTGCAGGGTTAACAACAGAGATATCAAAACAAAAACCAGAGTTGTTATCAGAGTAACCAAACATCAACAACAAAAACATCAACTTGTTTGATATGATTCCCCATACCCACCGACTTTTGTTTGATTAGAAATTAAAGAAAAGCAATGTGAAAAACGCCCACATTAAATGGAAAAAGAAAAAAAAAACAAACCAGCCGCTATTAGATTGACTTTTCTTACTTAATCAGGCAATTTGATATTACTGTTTTATTTTATTACTTTACCTAGCTTCTGTCTGAACTATGATGTGAAAGGGTCAAAAGATGTTTGCAGCTGGTTTTTTAACATATTTCTTCTACTTTAAATGGCTCTCTCTCTCTTAATAATGTATTTTTTCCCTTGAAAGGAGAATCCTTCTTCTTGACGGAGTACAGCTTACTTTCTTTCATGGGCAGACAAATTAACCATTTTCTTTCGTGAAAAGAAAGGCATTTTGGATTAAAAAAAGTTCTATGCTTATTCCTTAATGCCAGACGGAATAAGACTTTTTTGACAGCTTCCACCTTTGCATGTTCCCATCACCAGCATGACTGTTGCCTATTCAGGCTGGAGATAGTGATTCCCACCCTAAATTCTGATTCGAGAAATTTTACAAAATTTATGTGAAAAATTTCATTGCCAGTTCAAAAATTGCTCTGCAGCCTCTCTCTGGATAAACTTCCATATCCAAAGTTCTTGATATGGACCCTCTGATATGAACTGAGAAATGGGCTTATTTCAAACTCCCTTCAATACTTATTGAACTTGGTGGATGGTTGACATAGGAGAAGGCAGGGTAGATAGTGGGCAACAAAAGTAGCAAAACTGAGATTTGCCCTTTGCCAAAAGAGGAAAAAGAGTGGAAAGGGGACCTGGGAATAATTAAGAAACATTGTTACAATAACATATAGTTATTCAACTACATACCCTTTTTACCTGTATGAGCAGATCAAAACATTAATAGGGAAACGATTTCAGACCCGAAAGAGTGAGTACCTCAATTAGCACATTGGTGTCATGTCATGTCATGTCTACTCATAGCAAAAGGAAGTTTAGTCTGTCTTTAATTTGGTAAGGGGATGAATTAAAAACTTTAGTTTGGAAAAACTACACCCATTTTGACTTTGAAAATCCTGATATTGTTTTAGTACCATACAAACAGTTTTTGGAGATTTAAACTTAGTGCCAAATGAGGTCTTGGTACTATATATATGTACGTAACATAGGATTTTTCTAACAATCACTAATAACTAAGCCACTTTGCGTGGATGATCCATTTTGACCCTAGCTTTTGATAGTATGCCTTATTAGTAGTACTGTGCTCATGGATGAGCTGGGTTGCATTGCTCCCTTCTTGTGCCCCACGGCCGAAATGACTAATCCCCAAAAGTGCGATTTAGCTGGAAAAGGGAGCAATATTGGCAGCAAAGAGACACCACTAATAAAGACAGATCTACATCCAAGTTCAGCATCGATGTGAGAAAAAGGGTGCTTCAGACAAAACATGATACTGCTAGTGCTCATTGCTAGATCCAACTAAACAGCAATTACTCTAGTGCCTCGCACTATTAACTAAGCTATTGCCTGGCCATGGTTCTCATGGATGAAGAAAGGTTCAGACATATTGGTCCTTGGGGGAACAGGATGGCTCCTGTCCTGATTGCAGGGCTTTCTCTACTTAATTCTGTCCACAATATCACGAGACCAATCACAAAAGCCCGCTATGGGAACTCGTGGATTTCAGTTAGCAAACCCCAATGAATTAGTGGGTTCAAAAGTAGTGTCTTTGGTAACATTCATGTATATACATATCACACATGGGTATGCATGTCTTTGGTTCATGGACCGTTCCAATCCAATTCGCCAATTTGGAGTTGCTATGCTTTATGGAGTACTGCAACATCTTGATCATCATTTGCCACTTTTCTTGTTGATCTTAATAAGCATGTTAAAAGAAGAAAGGGTTAAATTTTTGGTGAGCTTTCAATGAATACACTTTGTAACTTCATAACATCGTTGGAATAGAATGAGTTTTATATTGTTCTAAAAACACAGAAGCGGAACAAAACTTCATATACATTACACCAATCAGAGTTTTTTGATTCAAAATACCAGGAAATATGAGATTTTTGTATATGAATGAAAAGATCATTCATACTCAGTTTATCATTCAGTTGTTAGAATCTTAATGGGTACAAGAAGTTTCAAATCAGCCGAATTGTAAGTTGTGTACAAGAAGAAAAGAATAGTCACGTTTAAATGAAGATGATATTGCTAAGTAACTGAAAATTAATGTTTGACCAGAGAACAGTTTATTGCTGATATATATCTGTCTGCCTCTAGAAAAAAGACAGTTGTTTTTAATTGAATGCTAAGACTGACCAGTTCATCACTTCGCAGACATAGTTCGATTCTTCCTCAATGTTGCTTATTAAACGGAAAGACCAATTTCAAAGGATAAGAGCAGGGGGCCATGCATGTGGGGATCAATCTCTATCCTGCCTGTGAATGCTTTTGGAAAATTTCTACAGATTTATCCTTGAAAATGTCTTAGATTTACCAAATTATTGGTATCCCTGTACTTGCTTTTTACCTTTTAGTGAGAAATCAATTTACCCAACATTGTCAAGCAAGGACGCATTAAGGGCCCCCATTGATATTCTAATTCTAATGTTCTTTTGACTATATTATAAAAATAGCTAGAAATTTTAGCTTTTTTATTTTTTGCCTTCACTCGATTTCACAAAAACATAAATATATCATGTCATTATAAATTTTTAAAAAATAAAAGTATAATTATAATTAAAATTAAGATTTTATAATTAAAAAAATAAAAGATATTTATAGTTTCGTAAGTTATTTTCTATCTTGTATGCTCATAACAAAAGTGAAGAAAGAACTACTAGAGAGAAAAGAACAGAAACAAGTTATAACATTTTATGAAAGAAACATTAAGGAAACAACAGAACGGGACCACTTTCCTCTTTCCAGATGAGTTTTTTTTTTTTTGTATTTTGATCATTTAGCATTACGATAGAATATTTATTTACTATTTAATTTTTTTTATGTGTGATAAAACATTTAGTATATATATACAAAGAAATAATCGAAGAATTTTTGTTTAAAAAAAAACATTATTAGTTTTGAAGGGAGATTCTTAAAATGATTGTTGAATTATGCATACACAAAGAAAAATATATTTTGTAGCATTGATAATTAGAAAAAATTATAACACCTCCCAAATGTAATATATATAGATAAATTACAACACCTATCAAAAAAGAGATTTAAAATGACGGTTGTGAGATTAATAAATTCGTTTTTTAAAGGGAAAAATTGTCCCCATCGAACATAAATCTTGGATATTCCATCCAAGTCACCAGGTGCCAACACTCTCCAAAAGGTGTGTCGATGTGTATTGTTCAAAGACGTGTCTATGGCTAAGCATGGCTCTTACTTCGGCAGAAAACTCTTACAAAGATGGCTGGCTCCAACTTGCAATTGGTGAGGAAGAAGACAAAGGAAAAGAATGGTAGAGGAGAAACAAAATCAAAAGAGGAATTCTACAATCTTTTGCAGTCACCTTGGTCCACATGCAGACTTCATAAGCAAACGGCTTTGCTTTATTTTGGTGGAATATATAAGCCGGAAAACAGCCTTTCTAAGCGTCAAAAATGCTTAAAGTCAAGCCCCTTGTTTTTCCTAACGAAATCCTTCGTAACTATTCATAAAATCTATTCTTGCCCCCCTCCCCTTTCACCACCAAAAATCAAATTCTTATTTATGTTATATTAACTTGTATTTAATATTATTCCGTGTGTGAATAGGTTGAACCTTATCAACCGGGTCTATTGAAAGTTTGGACTTTAGAAAATTGCATGCCCTTGATTTATATATTTTATATGCTTTCGTATTTCACACAATTGTCGTTTTATGGGGAAAAAAACAGACAAAAAATAAAGGTTGCTTTTGATGCTTAGATCAGAGTGATGGATGCTTGAGTAAGGGGTTGTTAATGGCTAAAACTGAAAATGACTGCCATCTAACTTTATAATTCTCCAATGGAAGATTTAATGGCACTGAGAAGACTAAAAATACATGCAATATATATGTATATGTCAAAAATTTTCCAAATTCGGGTGCTGATGTTTGTCCACGTCTAAAAGTGATCATTGCGGAACATGTCACTCCAGTTTGGAAACTTTTAATTATTTTTTGAATTAAGAAAAGGTAAAAATTGTACTAACAAGTTAACGTTTTTCACGAGCATGTCCCATGTGATTCATGGTTTTTTTAATGATTGTATACATCAAAATCGTATCTACGGAAATTCTTTCTTTATTATATAGTTGGTATTAGAACAAGTTGAAGTTTGAACTGATCAGAAACAGCAGCTTATGATCAAAACGATTGCTTAGGGCTTCTTGGTGACGTAATTTCTTCCTTTTTCATTAAGTATTTGATCTCAAATTCCACATATATATATATATATCTCTCGTAGTTCTTACAAAACGTTTCCACCATGCTAGTCGAAGTTTGACAAAAGAGAAAAAGAAGGAAAAACAGTGGGCAGAAAGACAACCAGAAGTGGATGAGAAAGTCAAAATGATCGGTGATTAATTTCCAACATTTGTGCTATCACGTTATTATTATTATTATTATTATTATTATTATTATTATTATTTTGTGAGAGAGACTTGATCATCTGCTTTACGCAATCCAACAGAATATGTTGGCTCTGAAAACGAAAGCCACTATTCATTGTTGTGTTTTTGGCCTGTGAGGAACTCATCGTACGGTTCGGTTCGTGCCATGATGTTTTCGGTAAACCGACTCGAAGTACACTGGCCAATGAACAAGCCTCGAGCTGCCCTCCCCAACCAAACCAATTTTACGTCTGCCAAAAGGGTAGTTGCTTTGCTCTCTGCATCGTTTACTTGTGTTTATAGGAGAATACCAAGATCAAGAAATTGGGATATATCAAACTAGCCACTTTAGTTTGGGGAAAAGAGAGGTTATATAATTATGGGCTTTCTGGCTTAGGCTTGTCGATAAAGAAAGCCAACAAGAATCAATATCCTTCGGTAAAACTTATGGGCGACGTAAATTATCAGGGAAGGAGACATGATTTCAAGAGCTGGTTAAGTACTACGAGGGTTGGTGATCATTTTTACTAGAGGAGGCATTATTAGTTTATGATCAATTTTAGTGTTTTATCTGAAATCCAAATAATTGCTGGCTTAAACGCAAGCCATTGGAAAACGACAAATAGTAAAAAGAAATGTGGTAAAACTGTTTGTCTCTGAATTACCTATGTAACCTAACCGTGGACAGTTAATCAATGCCAGCATGATAAAATATTATGTCAGCATAAATCAATGTTACATTAATAAAAAAACATCACATCATCTCAATCAATATCATACTAACTTGATTAAAACTTTCATTTTAACATATTTAATGATACAAATTTAATAGTTTTTAAATTTGAATTGTATTTAATAAATTAAAAAATATAAAGATTCAATTTATATAAATTATTATATCGATAGTAAATTTATATTTTTTATAAAATATAAGTATTGATTGCTTAATTTAATCTAAAATATTTTTATCTCTAAATTACCTCACTAACCTAACTCAAGTAGTCATTAGATTCATTAATTAGTACATCATATCCTATTTAAAAAATAAAATTTGAATCTTTCTTTCTTAATTAATTAAAAATAAATAAAAAACCTAACCCAAATGGTCTGCCGCCTAGACTACGAAGGCAGTTTGGTGGAAAAACTAGACCAAGGATATCCTCAGAATTCGGTAAAACAGCATTTATGTTTTTCTTGTTATACCTTCTATTATAAAAGAGGTACGTTTTTCTTCATATAATTCCATATTTATGCAAATATTAATTAGTATATACAAATTAATTTAAAATTATTTCAACCTATTTAAATTATACTTATCATGGAATCTACTTAATCAAACAAGATTAGCAAATATGAGCTGAAGAAAACGGGGACCTAGTTACATGGTTGGGGCTAAGGGCTTTGATTAGAAAGAGGACCTACCTTGGAATGTGATAGAGGCAGAAGGATGAACCCGACCTTCTGATTGTGACTCTTGTTTATCATTTAATACTGTATTTAATTTTTAAAAGTAAATTCTTTTGCCAATTTCATTCATGTTAAATCTCTATTATAGAACAAGAATACATGTAATCTTTTTTTCTTTTTCCTTTCTTGCTTTTTCTTTAAGAAAAGAAACAAAATAGCATCTCGTCATCATATTACGTGTAAATGCTTGTTGAAAATAAGTTTTTATTAATTATTAAAAAATAAATAACGAATGATTTTTCAATTAAATTTGAATGATACATTAATTCTAAATTGGAAGAAAAAAACCAATACAGAAAAGGTTTGATTTGAATTAAAAATTAATTACGTTGCCAAAAACTTGTGTTTAGAATTTATATGTAATTTTTTAAAGTAACCTCTTCCTGAAATTTGCAAGCAAAATTAGCTTTGAATCCAACACCTACTGCATTTCTAATATATATATGTGAGAAAAATGAAGTAAACAAACTCACGCCACTTAGTCAAGATAACTGTTATAAGATTTCATCATACACTCTTTGTAAATTTGTCCCTATCATATTTGGTAACCCTTTGTCATTTTTTTCCTCCATGTTTTGTTTATATTTTCTCTTATTTTTCTATTCACGTTCAAATATTACATATATACAGTGGCTGATCTAATATTTTATATGAGAGATAACTAAACAGCAATCATACAAAATTATGGATCGAATTAATGATTTGATTTAAAGTAAAAAATTACTCATTTTTAAATAAAATTAAATTATAACTTAAAATTTTTTTAACAATTTGAATATAAATTTTCAGATTTATCAATATAAATAGACATAAAGCAGAAAGAACGATTAATATTAGATTTTCACATTGGATATTATAAACTATGCTCAACACGTTTTTATTATTTTAAATCATCGATAACTAAATCCATGTTAATGTTTCTAACAATCACTTTATACTTATTTAATTTGAAAAAGTAAAATAAGATTATTGAACTTTTTTAAATATTTTAATCACATTCTTGTTTAGCTTTTTATGTTAACATATGACATATTTACATAATTACTTAAATCGAATCAACAGATTGTAAGAAAAATCAAAGTAAAAAATTATGCTATTCAAGAAATTAAGCAATGCATCTTTTCTTTTATAGGACCATAACATATTTTATACAATAATACAAAATATTCTAGTAAAGTTACGTTAAAAAAATGAATGGTTTTTAAAAAAATACATATTGTATATGTATTTAAATTAAATCAACATATTGTAAGAAAAATCAAAGTAAAAAATTATATTTTTTAGGTAATTATATTCTTTAAACATGGTTAAGCAATGCATCTTTTATTCTATAAGAAATAAAAAAATATGAAAATAATTACAAAATTTGGGCTTACTCTTATAGTTAAGCAATGCATCTTTTACTTTATAAAGAAAAAAAATAAGAAAAATAATTGTAAAATTTGAGTTTACTCTATAAGAAAAAATAATAATTTCAACTTTTGGACCTCAAATTAAGGGATTGAACCCAAACCTCTAAAATTTAAGATAAATGACTTGCCACTATGCTAAACAAATTTATTTAAATTAGATAAGGGTGGTAAACTTATATATTTGTAATTGTATACTCATAAAAATAAAAAAAAATTAAAGCGACCGCCACCACTCTACCTCCTACATTGCGTATATAATTCTTTCATTTGTGAAATTAATGAAAATGAACCCTCACGTACTATAATCAATAGGTTCTTTTTCTTTTGTTTTTTTTTTGAGGGGTTTGCAATTATTTTTGAAAATTATGAGAGATTTAATTCTAAAATGTCATAATAAAAAGTTGGAAAACGTTTAAACATCAAACAAATTGAAATTCCAATGGCAAGTTTCTGGCCAAAAAAAACCCATTGAAATATACATTAGTCAAGTTCATAAGATTATAAGTGTCTCAAAATCTTAATTAGAATATACTAGTATATGCAAAATAAAGAGCAGAGTGTCAAAAGGTTAATTAATATTGATAAATTTCTGGCCAAAAAAAAGAACAGAAAAGACAAATATTGCTAATAAGAGGAATGGCGATGAAAGGAAGCAATCGAAGGCAGGGCAGAGTCCAGAGGGTTAGGTGGGGGCCCGAGGAGAAAAAATTATATATACTTTAATAAAGCTTCGCCAAGCTTCCTCCTTGGAAAAAGCAAAAAATGTGCAAGCCACGCGTTCATGTAAAATCCCCTTTTCCCCTTACTCAAATCAACGCTTTAGAAATGTAATAGAAGCTTCCTTTTCCTTCCAAGAAACGACTAAGAAAAACTCCACCAGTCCACCACCATTTTTCTCTTTGGAAAACCCTCTCTCTCTCCTCGATGTCATCATTTTCCTCGAGAAAGAAAAAAAGCATGTTGTTTTCTTCTAATTCTTAGTTGTCCCTTTTTATTTCTTACCTCTCTCTCTTATCTCTTTTTGCCCTTTGAATGACTGACTCAAGCGTCGAGCTTTGAAGGGCTTATATTTTTTCCCTGTTTCTGAAAATTTCTAGAACCCAACATCTCTTTCTTTTTGCCTCATCTTGGTCGCCCTTCCCTCCTTTATAAGAAGTCAGATACAAGAGTTCACAAAAAAAAAAAAAAAACTCTTTCTCTTTTCTCAGTCAGGAGCTTTGGTAAAAAAGTTATGGTCTTTTTTAGATTCAAAAAACCTGAGAGTTCGTTTTGTTAACTCATGGAAACTGATACAAGCAAACGCTGTGACAACCTCGTGCACTCTCGCTTCTTCCTCTCTGGGTTCTATTGCTGGGGTTGGGAATTCTTGACCGCTCTTCTGCTCTTTAGTTGTTCTGTCTAAAGAAACGAAACATCTCAATTAACGAGGTTCGTTCTTCTTTTGCTTCTCGTGTAACAATAATTCTTTGTTAGATTTTCTTTCTTTTTTTTTCTATTACGTATTCTGGGAGGGGTTGGTGAATCGGACAACAAAAAACGAAATGGCGCAAAGGTCTGTTCCGGCGCCGTTTTTGACCAAAACGTACCAGCTGGTTGATGACCCGATCACCGACGACGTGATTTCATGGAATGAAAACGGCACCACCTTTGTCGTTTGGAAAACTGCTGATTTTGCAAAGGATTTGCTTCCCAATTATTTCAAGCACAACAACTTCTCTAGCTTCGTCCGTCAGCTCAACACCTACGTAAGTTTATCAAATTTTGAATTATTCTAAATACAGAGTAATTGTATTACTACTGTTTTTTTCCTACTCCTTTGGTGAGGGAAAATGATGGGCCATTAATTATATCTTCAAGCAAATTTCATTGGATAGTTGTAAGTTGAATAATTAGCCTGGGATTATGATGGGGATTGGTGAGCTAATTAAAGAGATTAATCCTTCAACTACTCAAATTAAAAAAAAATTACCAATTGTTTTCTGATTTTAGGTGAGGGCTATTACTGTCTTTTTACTTTTCAGTAACAGTTCAGTAAATTCTCTTGTATTTACCGTTGTCTTATAGGGATTTCGAAAGGTTGTTCCCGACAAATGGGAATTCGCGAACGAGAACTTCAAGCGAGGGCAAAAAGAGCTCTTGTCCGAAATCCGTCGTCGTAAAACGGTGACATCGTCGCCTGCGAACGGCAAAACAGCTGGTGCTGGACCTTCCTCTCCGACTAACTCTGGAGAAGACCTTGGGTCTACTTCCACGTCATCCCCGGACTCGAAGAATCCGGGATCGGTGGAAACGACGCCGGCGGCTGTGACCCAATTCGCCGATTTATCAGACGAGAACGAGAAACTGAAAAAGGATAACGAGATGTTGAGCTCGGAGCTGGCGCAGGCCAAGAAGCAATGCGACGAGCTGGTCGCCTTTTTAACTGAATGCGTGAAGGTGGGGCCCGATCAGATCAATCGCATCATGCGGCAAGGAAGCTTTGGATCCACCCGTGATGGCGATGATCGTGGTCGTAGCCACGATGTTGACGACCTCCATGATCATGACCAAGTTGTTGATGATGATGATGAAAAAGGCCGCAAAGAAGGTAATGGAAGTTTGAAACTGTTCGGGGTTTGGTTGAAAGGCGCGGAAAGAAAGAGGGCCCGCGAGGAGAAAATCGTGTACGGTGGGCCACACGCTAAGGAGATGAAGACTGTAGATTTTCGCCACGTGCCTTTGGTGATGAAGAGCGGCAAGGTTTGCAACTGACCATATCAACGGTCGACACGACAGCGAAGAAACGTTCATGCCGGTTTGATATACCTATAAAATTAGGGACAAGTAAGGTTTATTTTGTAATTTTCAGTAAGAATATATACTAATTTGTAATTTCGAAATAAATAAGGATGGGTTGTAATTTTTATGACTTCTTTTCGCATTGTGTAGTGTAGGTGGGTCAGTTAGTCAGCAATTGTGGGAGGCAGACATCAAAGGCAAATGGGTCTCTGTCTTCCTCCCACCTAGAATGTTATACCAATTACACATTTGTAAAATGTGGCCTCTGAAGATTAGCTTATTGTGTTTATATTATTATTTTGGGCTTTAATTTCTTTGCTCACATATTATTATTGTGATTATTATATTGCATGAGAAAACAGCAAAAGCAAAATGTTTGGTGTAGTTTGCACATAATCCATTATTTATACAAATCTTTTTGTTAAAAACAAACAAATGTTTGCTTTATTTTGCCAATTAATAATTCGATTGGCATATCAAATTATAAATACAATAAAATAACAAACATATTATGAATAAATAGTTTTTGATCTTGAGAATATGGAATATGTACTTCATTTTAATTAGTTTATATATTTCTTTATCACTTTATTGAAAAGCTTCGTTATAGTACTTAAGCACCTACCTAATTCTGTCCCATGCAATAATTAATAACTCTTGTTATTAAAATAATTATACAAATTATTCAATTAAAATTATAATATAACACTGACACAAAAATCTGAAATTTAGAAAGGGTACATGGAAGCTTCTGCTACAAAAAATGTGAAGCAAAGCTCAAAAAAGCAGCTTATATTTTCATCATTAGCTCTTAATCTTTGACATTCTATTAACTAGGAAACAGAAAAAGAAAAGAAAATTGGAGTTGGTCCCAATCCAAAGGCGTCCAAAAGGTCAAATTTTATTTGCTTACTAGTAGTTATTGATAAATTTGATATTTTTGGTTGCATAAATTTCAAAGTTAGGTATAATACTTTTGACTGAAGTGATTAAATAAACTAGTGAGATCAAATCATTTTTACACGTTCACATTTTTATGTCAAATGCAAATTTTGGTTGCTTGTGGATTTCAAATGCCAACCCATGATGTTGATGATCTGGTCAAGAACGAGACTTAATCAATTGGACTTTCTTGTAGAACTCATCTTTGCCATTGGAATCTCTTTCATTTCTCTCTCTCTTTAAAATTAGAATTTCTTTTTTTATTTTTATTTTTTACTTTTTTTTTTTAGGTTTGATCAGTATATAACTTAAACAAATTGAGCCTAGCAATGCGCCCCTCCCCCCACATATGGGTTTATAGCAAAAAAGATAGGAGTCCTCTATTGAGAATTATCAACTGCTTTGCTTGATGAGGGTTTTAAAGACTATATTTACTGAAGTGATCAAATGCTTTAATTTAAGACATTTAAAACTCCCATGACATAAGGAGAAGAAATGTGCATGAGGTCCATTGATGTAAAGGGTACTTACTATTATCAACTACTTGCTTCAAAGGGTTTATTAAAGACCATTAATACTTAAGTGACCCATGCATTAACAATGAATAAAGAAAATTTAATCTAAGAGTCTCTGCACTTAATAATAATTTAAAAATATTTGTTAAAGTTATCTGAAGAATTTAATTTAGAAGCCATTAATGCATAATTAAAATTTAAACAAATATAAAAAGAAAAATAATTTAAACATGCAGTTTGACAACAATCCGTTGTAGTCTAGTTGGTTAGGATACTCGGCTCTCACCCGAGAGACCCGGGTTCAAGTCCCGGCAACGGAATATTCTTTTTTACAAGGTCCATAACCATAAAAAGATGTACTGCCAGCGAATTTTACTTTGAACTAATGGCTGTCGTCTTCCGAAATTTTCTAAACTCCCCACTTCCTTTACTTTCATCGCCATCTTCTTCTTCTTCTCTTTGTCTTCTCTCTTCTTTCAGTCCACCTTCACCCAGACCTCAAATTTTTGCATCAGCTTCGCCAGCATCATCTTCCATGGACACCAACCCCAGAAAGTTCATGGACTTCCCATTTGTCACTACCCCACATAGGAACTTGATGATTGATCTCGTATCAACGGTGGAGAATCGACTCGAGTCTCAGCTCAAACCCTGCACTCTTCCTCCTGATGTACAATATTACTGCAATCAAAGTGGGACCTCCCAGGGCTCACTTCATATCAGATCAAGCCATAGCTCTTCCCAGGTATAGCTCCCTTTCCAAACTTTTTTATTTCACTTTTTAAATTGGTTGTTTAATTTATTGTTAGTCTCTTAAACTAGTAGTGCATGTAACTTCCCTAGTGTAAAAGCGAGGAAGTTTGACAATTAAGTTACCATTAGAATTGCTAATAAAGAAAGAAAGATAATTAAGACTTAGTGTCCGGGGTTGTCTTGAAATCTTTGAACTTGACCATTCCCACCCTTGACTTGATCAATTTATTGCTTATTTAACTAAATTAAGCTCACCTGAGTTGTCAACTTCTAAAGTAAACTCTGTTATAGAAGAAAAAAATGACTCTGTAGAGTGAGCTCAAACTGAAATGCAGTTGAAATGGAAGATGTCTCTTTAATGATTAATTACTTCACGGTCCGAAACAAATTGATTAACGACTGAACAAGTTGTTATTCCAAGGGTAGCATCTTGATTAATGAAACTTTTGGTATAGAATGTTTTGCCGTTGGGATATTCCAATTCTTAAATGATTTTATGCCAAAATTTTCAACCCCTGAAACCGTATGTGAAATGGTTTATCGGTCGTGAGGCGTGTTCGAAAGCTTCCCACAATTGCCGTAAGTCAAGTCAGGAGAATGATAAAGAAATGGTAAAATCGTTCATGATAATGTATTTATTAGACAATAATACAGTGGGGTTGAAGTGAAACGGTTTGGATGCATATGCTGCATGATTGCTTATGGATGTATTAGACTTTTATATTGTTCGTCCATTCAGACTAGACGTGTAGAGGTTTGAGGATTGGTGGCAGCTAAACAGCTAATCCTACGCTTGAGAAAATAAAATTTCAAAGGGTGCTAATTTTGAAATGGCAGATTCTAAGCCTGAGCTAACAGCTGTTTGATTCGACCTACCAATATTCCTCATATAATCCAAGGTTTAATCCAGCCTATCTTACCTTCTGAAGGCCCTATTCCCTGATTCACACGCACATACAAGCGTGCCTATGTTAATGTTGCACCCTTCTTCTGTTTTGGAAATTATTTGGTGTGTTTTTATGCTCATTGTACTTCCAGCCTGTGTGTGCTGCTCCTGTTCTTCTGTTCTGACTGAAATTTAAGATTGCTCTTTTCTATAAGAATGCTTCAACTAAAATCCTCAGGCCCCAAACACCAGTTTAGAGGCTTAAATTTCCCCAAGTTATTTGTTGACACGAAAGTGTAGAGGTGATGTGATCCAAGGATATTCTGTGTGGCTTATAAACTGAACAATGGAATCAAGACAGCAACCTCTGCTGTTTCATATTTGAATTGTTGGCCGTCTTGGCCAGGGCCTAAGAATCTCTTCTAAATGTGAGGCTATTAAAACATTCTCTTATTCAACAGTTATAATTTGGACAACTAATGTGTTTGAACTTTGAACTATTTCCTCTTAATATTGATCATCAATGGGAAGGTAATATTCAACTTAAATTGTGACGGTGCATAAGTTCTTCCTTAGTGGCATTGCAATGCCATTGCTACAATTCAGCACCAGGCACTGCTGTTTTCATTTTGTTTCCACTGTAGTGATTCACATATCATCTGAGATTGGCCAGCTGATATCTCTTTTGCTAACTTGCAAGACTACTATTGTGCTTCCAAACCTCTAGGTGCTGTCTCTTTGGAAGTTAATTTCATTTTGTTTTAGATAAATTAACTGTGCATAAAAGCTGCAAACAATAAACTGGGAATCTGGTAATGTCATGTTGTACAGGATGTTAATTGGGCACTTACAATTGTTTTTTCGTTTTTGGATTTCGACAATGAGCCTGATCTACAACTTATTGTTTAATGTTCCCTTTTTGGGATTTCTGAATATTTGAAATTTTGGATGTTTCAGGTTGATTTCATACTAGGAAGTTGGTTGCACTGTGAGCTGCCAACAGGTGGATCACTGAACATAACAAGCCTTTCCGCATACCTGAATGTTTCCACAGATGCACCAAATTTCCTTATTGAGCTCATACAGAGTAGCCCTACATCACTAGTTCTCATTCTGGATTTGCCTCCTCGGAAGGACCTAGTCCTATATCCAGAGTACCTTCAAACTTTCTACGAAAACACACGGTTGGACTCACTTAGACAAACGCTTGAGAAACTCCCAGAAGTTAAAACCTACTACTCCTCAGCGCTTTACATTCGATGTGTCACCTCTCCCACATCAATTATGATCCGTGTCGACACAGAGGGAGCTGGACCAGGACGCATGGAGGAGATTGTTAAGGATCATGTGGATCCGGTTGCAAAAGCAGCATTGGGAATATGGTTGGATCAATGTGCTTGTGGACAGAGAAATGTAGATGAGGCAGAAATGGCATATTTGGAAAAGAGGGATGGATTGATTAAGAACAAGACCATTGAGATTGATCTCGGCTCAAACTTTCCAAGGTTGTTTGGGCCCGATATAGCAAATCGTATACTAGGGGTGATAAGGGGAGTGTATAATGGGTGAGGGAGTGCTAAATTTATGCTCTAGCTGTACTTTAACTCAACTCTTTATTATTATTAGTATTATTCCTTTTTCCAAAATTACTCGAAGAGATTACTTGTACCATTTTGTAATTACATTTTTCTTATATTTTTAGCAAGAATAAATATATCTCTTATTATTATCATTTTTTGTAATTGTTTATTTGTTTGCAAAGAAATATGATTCTAGTTGTTTTTTTTTCAATGGGGAGAAGGGAGATTTAAATTTTACTTTTTGAGTAAGAAATCATATACCAATTAATGAATCAAATGCTCCAGTGTATAATTTTAGTTGTTTGCTTGCTTCATAATGATGAGCAATTATAAACAATGATTAGACAAAGTCTTCACTTACCCATATATATCCTCGTGCTTGAATTCATTCTATTTAAAGAGTTTGTTGTTCAAAGTTTTGGGAGTAAAAAACGATTAAAGGTATTAAAATAAATTCTTTTTTACGGTTTAAAAAAAAATTGACATAAACAATAAATTTTAAAATTCACATACAGGATTAAAAAATGAACACTGTATCTCATTAAATATATTTTAAATTAATTAATTATTAAATAAATATGTAATTTCTATCTAATTGCAAGAATAAAGTGTAAAGTTCAAAGTTTCCATTATCTGATAGCTTAACAAGCCCCATCAACAGTGTTGGGCTCAAGCTTTTACTTAGTTTTGAAGCAGGCCCTGGCCTTCCTTTGTGTCTGACTCTGAAGTTGTTTTATTAAAAAATAAAAATAAAAATCCGCTTATATCTCCCAAGCTAAGAAAATAAAGATCGCCTTTGTACACTACTTTTGATTTAGATTAGATCTTCAAATCGACTTTTTGAATTCCTTTCGTTGGGGGACTTTCCACGAACCCGTTGCGATCTCATCCAAATTAGCCATGGTATGTTCTTCCCTCTTAAACCCCAGATTCTCTTTTCCTTGTTTTAGTAATTATAATAATTTCTCCTTTTTCGTTTAATTTCTTGAAGATTATGTTTTTAGTATCGTTTGAATCTCCGTGGCCCTTATTGACTTGAAGAGAATTCGGGTTTAGTTTACTGCCTTGTAGCGTTGGATTTTATTTGGGATTACATATAAATTTTGGGGTTTTATAAATAAAAATGGATGAGTATGTCGTGAAATTAGCAGGAAATTAAAGTACAGAATATTGTCAATAATGCCTCAGGAAATTGAAGCAAATTATGAATTAAACCCAGATTTATAACATAGCTTGAGAGATTATGGTAAATAAAAGATCTTTTAACTTGAATTTTGGTTTGTTAATTTATGGTTTACTGTTATTAACATTGCAATACAAATGGGGTACTGTTTTAAAGCTTTGGTGGAAACAGATTACTGCATTTTAATGAACTTTTGATCACTCTGTTAGGCGAGTCATTATGGAGGAGTGTCGAGGAAAGACAAGCCTAGAGGGAGGCATCATGGGTTAAGCCAACAGAAGAGGCAAGAGATTAAGGAAGCATTTGAACTATTTGATACTGATGGCTCAGGTATGAAACGACTTGTTATTGCTAGGTTATCTATGATACATGTGCTTACAGTTTAGCATTTCATTAAATTATTGTTTGAATTTGATGGCCAGGTACCATTGATGCAAAAGAGCTGAATGTTGCCATGAGGTTTGAATATTTGTGTTTGATGTAATTAATATTTGTTAATACATTTTTGGTTGATATCAGAACATTGGGACTAAAAGTTATAGCATTACAGGGCTCTTGGTTTCGAAATGACAGAAGAGGTAATTTTTGTAACCAAGGATGCGTGTTGAAATGTTTACTATCATGTTTTTATCGTGTAACAGATAGCATGTTACTTTGATTTTCTTGCAAGCCTTAAGTTTTGATCTTCTGTGTCACAACAGCAAATCAATCAAATGATTGCAGATGTGGACAAGGATGGCAGTGGTGCCATTGATTTTGATGAATTTGTGCACATGATGACTGCCAAGATTGGCGAGAGGGACACTAAAGAAGAGCTTATGAAAGCATTCCAAATCATTGATCAAGATAACAATGTAAATATGTGCTTTTCTGTTTAGTAAGAACCTGATGTTTTTAGCTCTTTGTGGATGATTGATTCTTCCTTCATTTGAATTCAGGGAAAGATATCGCCGCAAGACATTCAACGCATTGCAAAGGAGCTTGGCGAACACTTCTCAGAAAAAGATATTCAAGACATGATTGAAGAAGCAGACCGTGATCGTAAGCTAACCTTTCTTCTTGAATCTTGATACAGTACTCTATGATGTTGTACTTGCAATTTGGTTCCTGGTGATTGTATATTTGGATGGCATTCACGTTTACTTTCTTGAACTGTATTTGGTTCTCTTGATAATCTTGAGCTTCAGCCAGGGTATTTTTGCTGCTACATGAAAAGAACATAAATTCAATGTGGCAATTTAACATAAATTAGTGCAAGCCTTCTTTTCTTTACTTAATTTGTTAAAAACTCTTTCTCATCTATGTTCAAGCAAGCATATTACTGACTTTCAATTCTGATTGCAGATGATGGTGAGGTGAGTATTGATGAGTTCATGAGGATGATGAAGAGAACTACTTACGGCTACTAGAAGTTTCACTTAATGCTGAAGGAAGGGTTGATTGCAGTCATGCTATAGCTGTAGAATAGTTGTACAAATAAACTAAAAAAAAAAAAATTATGGATGATCTATTGTATGTTTCATCATAAAGTTTAAACATGTAGCTGATCTCTATTATTTTGTGTTGGCTTTGTTTGGTCAGTGATGATGATGATGATATGATATTTTATCTCTGCCATATCTGATCTAATTGCACTGTCTATGCTGATTACTGCACTGGATCTGCCTTAATATGTCAGACTACCCTCTTTGTTTTTATAAAATTAATAATAATTATACTAAGATTATAAGTAACCTCTGCTCCTTTCAGATATATACTAACTGCCCCCATCCCCCCACCCAAAAAGAAGAAGAAGAAGAAGAAAGCCCTTACAAATCGTCAAGGCTTGTATGAAGTCGGGACTCCAAATGATGAACGATAACTAACTGCGGGAAACCCATAGCTCCAAACGTAAACGACGGCCATGGTTTTAAATCTTCCAAGGCGTTCCTTTCCAAGTTTCTCAGATCTTTTGAAACACTTTAAGCCTCTTAAATCCCTTCTCATCGTACACGGTTTCAGTAAAAACAACTTATTGCTAGGACAATTTCTCAAATCTTGCTTTAATCTGGGTGCTCCAAATTTAGCTCTCTCCGCATTTCACAAAATTCAAAACCCAAACTTATTATTCCAAAACTTAATGCTAAAGGGTCTTTGTAACCATGGTTTATATGAAGATCTTTTATCTGTCTATCTAAAATGTCGGGTCTTGAATTGCCCGTCTGATGATTTTACGTTTCCTTTGGTGATTAAGGCTTGTTCAGCTTTAGGTGCTTTTGGGATTGGAAAACAGATTCATTGCATTGTTTTGCGCAAAGGGTATGAAAGAAATGTTGTTATAATGACTTCTTTAATTGATTTTTATGCGAAAAATGCCGCTACAAGGATTGCTCGGAAACTGATTGATGGAATTTCTGAACCAGACCTGGTTGCGTGGAACGCTTTGCTTTCTGGTTATTGTTTTAACGGACTTGATAAAGAAGCACTGGGGGTTTTCATGGAAATTCAGGGAATGTACATAAAGCCTAATGTGAGTACTTTGGCAAGTATAATTCCGGTATGTACTCGGTTGGAGTATTCTGCTCTTGGTAGATCTCTTCATGGTTTTGCTGTTAAATGTGGATATTTCTTGGATGATTTTTTGTTGCCTGCTTTTATCTCGATGTATAAAAGTGAAGTGGATTTATCCAGTGCTAGGAAATTGTTTGACTTTGCTGTGGAAAGGGATGTTTCTGTTTGGAATGCTATGATCAATGGGTATATGCGGAACGAGAGGGTTTTTGAAGGTTTTGAGATGTTTCGGGAAATGCTTCGAGCTAATGTGCGGCCTAATTCAGTCACATTTGTGTGCACAATTCCTTCATTTGAGAACAATTTTAATATTTGGTACGGTGGATCTCTCCATGGTTGTGTTATTAAACATGGCTTAGGAAATCAGGTTTCTGTATTGACAGCTCTGGTATCTATGTATGCTAAGCTTGGGGAAATAAATTTAGCTGAATTTTTGTTTAATCAGATAACTAACAAAATGCTGCTGTCCTGGAATGCGATGATTTCTGGTTATGTAAATAATGGGCTATGGATTGAAAGTTTGGTCGCATTTCAGGAAATGCATTTGGAAGGATTCAGTCCTGATGCAGTCTCAATTGTTAGCATCCTTTCTGCCTGCTCCAACCTGGGTGGCATTTTACTTGGTAAATCGGCCCATGCATTTGTAGTTAGAAGAAGTTTTGAAACAAATATTAATGTTTCAAATGCACTACTGGGATTTTACTCTGATTGTTGTCTACACTCCACTAGTTTTAAGCTATTTCAAAGAATGGCCGATAAAAATACTGTATCATGGAATACTTTGATATCTGGGTATCTACACAGTGGACAAGAGGAGAAGGCAAACATGATTCTTCACCAGATGCAGAAAGAGGGAGAGAAGTTGGATTCTGTAAGTTTGCTAAGTATTCTTTCTTCTTACACTGAGAGCAAAAATTTCAGGCAAGGAACAATGCTTCATGGTTATGCCATCAAAACTGGGTGTGACTCTGATGTTTCTTTAACAAATGCACTAATTAGTATGTATTGTAACTGTGGAGAGATTGATGCTGGAACATCATTGTTTGATCTCATGCCTCAAAGAAGTGTGGTTTCTTGGAATTCATTAATGACTGCCTTCCGACATTACAACTTATCAAATAACGTTTTAAACTTGTTTGGTCAAATGATAAAGGAGGATCAGAGACCAAATCAAGTAAGTTTGCTAAACTTATGCCCTGTATGCCACACACTGTCACAGGGTAAGTCCATCCATGCCTTTGCTCTCAGAACAGGAATGATAGAAGAAACCACTGTTCTTACATCTCTTATCTTCATGTATGCTAGATTTGGAAAGATAGATTTGTGCCTTTCACTTTTTCAAAAGGGGAGAAGGGGGCATATTTCTTTGTGGAATGCTATAATGTCAGTGCATGTTGATACAAAAAATGCCCAAAGAGCAGTTGCGTTTTTTCGTGAATTGCTCCAGATATGTTTAGAACCTGACAAAATAACAATTTTAAGTTTAATCTCTGCATGTATTTTAGTAAATAGCCTACATCTAGCAGATTCTGTGATGGCCTATGTGATACACAAGGGCTTTGACAAAGTTGTGGTAGTTACTAATGCCCTCATAGATCTACATGCAAGATGTGGAAACATTGTGGATGCAAGATTGCTGTTTGACTGCTTGCTTGAAAAGGATGCTGTCTCTTGGAGTGTGATGATTAATGGATACAAATTGCATGGAGATGCTAGAGGTGCCATTGAAATTTTTTCAAGGATGCAACTTTCAGGGGTGAGCCCTGATGCCATTACTTATTTAAGTCTTTTATCAGCCTGTAGCCATGCTGGTTTCGTTGAGAAAGGCCAGAGGGTGTTCAACTATATGGTTGAAAATGGGGTATCTCCAAGAACAGAGCATTATGCTTGTATGGTTGACCTTCTTGGGCGAACCGGTCACTTGCATGAAGCCTATGATATAGTTAGTAGACTGCCATATAAACCTTCTGTAGGCATGCTTGAATCTTTGTTGGGTTCTTGTAAAATCTATGGGGACGTTGAACTTGGAGAGAGAATTTTTCAGATGCTCTCTGAAATGTATCCCCAAAATTCAAAATCCTATGTGATGCTTCACAACATTTATGCAGCAGCAGGAAAGTGGGCAGATGCTAATAGAGTTCGGTCTAACATAGAACGAAGACTACTAAGAAAACATCCTGGTTTTAGTCTTCTAGTTGGAGATTGACATCACAATTAGCAGTTCTCTGAGGTGTGCTAACAGTAAATGTATGTCGACATGAATGTTCAGCGAGTTGTCTGAAGCGTTTATGCTAACAGTAACTGAATGTCAATACCAGTAGACAAAGGCCTGTCGTAGGTGATCTGCTGAGCGCTATGTGAACAAATAACAGCCGAGAAAGCAGTTCTTTAACGTATGCTGGAAGTTAATGAAGTTCGATTCAGGTAGGCAAAGTCGTGATGGAGGCGATCCACAAGATCCACGTGAACCTAATGGTAGCGGAGAAACACCAGGATCAGCAGTTATCTGAAATATACCAACAGCAAATGAATGTCAATGCAAGCCGTGTCGGATGTGATCTCCACTAAGCGCCATGTGAACTAAGTGCTAGCCGAGGAACTGGTCCAAAGAACACTCCGTTCCTCCCCTGTTTGCAAGATTGAACTATGCAGAGTGGGGACTTGTTTAATGCAAATCCCCACATTTAGGGAGCTAAGAAATGTGTTAATCTGGAGCCTTAACCGCAATCCACTTTGACTAAGTCCAGAACAAATTTAGGTCAACCCATGATTCTCTGAAACTGAAACGTCAGAACCCCATAGTAAGAAATGACAGCTGAAGGGTGAACCGGCGACAGTAAATGCTGATGCAGTGAGCAGAAAAACAGCCTGGATCCAGAGACAGCAAATGGTTACTTACACACGCAACTGAGGCAAGGCGGACGAGAAGTGGCCGGTGAATAGGAAAAGATGGAAGAATCTTCGTTTCACACGGGATGGTTTCGGCAGGAGCAAACGATATTATTGGGCCCCCTCCCTCCACCTCTGGGTGTGGGCGGGAAACCTTTTATTTGTTTTTTTCTTCTGATTTGATAATGAATGGTCCACTTTTGTTCTTCGCTGTCAGTTTTGACAACAGGCACCGCCGCTATTTGACTTTAATATGGCGAAATAGTACAAAACCAAGGAAAGTTCCAACGTTGGTAATTTGGCTCCATCCTATGATGACAAGTCCATGCTCTCTCCATTTTGTTTGGAAAAGTTCCACAGACACACGTCCACAGTTAATAACCCCAAAATGGTACTTTTCAGTAGCTTTTAATTTCCTTTATTATTATTATTATTATATTAAAGTGACAAAGCACAATTATTTGTTTAATTCTTTTTCAACCTTTGTATAACTTTTGAAAATATAATCAAAAGAAATATAAAGTTTTATATAAGTAAACTTATTTTATGCTCAACGCATAACATATGAAATAAGTTGCAATAAAAACTTAAATTGGACTCAATTATATTACCCAAATTCAACTTGATTGGAACACAAATTTGCTTTGATTATCATTAAGTTAGAATTTATCAATAATCATTCATCAAATTTTGTTCCTCTCTCAAATATTTGATTAAGCCAGAACATTACTCGAGTCCAAGTATCGAAAGATTCAAATTCCAAATTTATTAAATTATTGGAGTATGAATCTACTTAATTCAAGAGTATTTTATTAGTAATTAGATGAGATTAAGGTGAAATTTGTCTTTTAAATTATAAACTCAATATTGACTATTTTAATATTATTGATTTTTTATTATACTTTTGTTAATTTTGAATAAAAAATAAAAATATTTTGAATAAAATATTCATTTTTAACTTTTAACCATAATTTCACACAATTCTATTAATTTTTAAAATGAACATTTGATTTTAAAAATATAAACACTGTTAATAAAAAATATATAAAAATTAAAATATTTTTTTATTAATTTCAAAAATTATTATTATCTAATTTTTTGAAAAAAATTAAAAAGCACTCAAGAGAAGTGTTTTTAAAATTAATAAAAATTATATAATAACAATTTTTAAAATTAAAAAAAATAAATTTATACTTTCAATAATATCACGTTATTAAACCAATATAAATATTAACCACTGACTAACAGCGGAATCTATATATTCAATAAAAAAAATTTTAAAAATAAGATGTTTATTTTAAAAATTAATATATTTATTTAAAATTTTAATCAAAACTTTAAAAACGAGGCCTTTTATCCGAACATATTGGATGTTGGGGATTTCATTTGAACGGCTAAGGCTAAGCTGGAAAGCATAAGTAGAGGCACTGACAGAATTTATCTTGCAAAGCCGCGTAAAAGGCGCGTGTTGAGAGCAACGAACCCCACTAATCCAAATCCAACAAAACAAAAAGGAGGAAAATATCTGGGGTGACTCCATCCCGCGCGTGAGTAACTCACAGCTGTTAAATTCCTGCCTATATATACCCCTTCCTGAAAAAAATGTTCGTTACAATTCGCAAAACCAACTCGACTCATACCTTCCCAAAACAACCTTCAAGTCATGGAAAATGATAACGCAGGCCACCCGCCAGCTTTGACTCGTGCCCAGGAACAGCAAATCATGGTCTCCACCCTCATGCACGTAATCAACGGCGAACGACCTTCCTTGTCAGTGTTTGCTTCAAGTGACAATGTCTTTAATTTCAGCGACACGTACGTTCCAGTGCAACTCAACGGTAATCATGAGTATTTCGACAGCATTTTCCCGCCAAGCCAACAACGACATCAACAGCAACAACTGCCGCCCAGGGTGCCGTCAAACAGGAGAAACAACAGGACGCATTACAGGGGAGTAAGGCAGAGGCCGTGGGGGAAATGGGCGGCGGAGATTCGAGACCCGATACGGGCTGTTAGGGTTTGGCTGGGGACGTTCGACACTGCGGAAGCTGCTGCCAGGGCTTATGACAGGGCGGCTGTCGGGTTCCGTGGAGATAAAGCAAAGGTCAATTTCCCACTGTCAGATTACAAAAAGGAACGAGAAGAGGAAGAAGAAGAAGAAGAAAAGAAAAAAATTCCAGAAGAGAAAGATAAGAGCCATGAAGAAAAAGGACAGACTAGTAAAGAAAATGATGATGAAGAATGGCAAATATTTTCAGATGAAGAGTTTAGGGAGCTAATGATGATGGATTAACCTAGGATTGGTAGTTGTCGGGTCGGGGGATTAGCACAATCAGATGACAGGTGAGGATCAAAGCAAGGAGTGGGTAGAGAAGGCTGCTGCCGTAGAAGGAGTTGCACCACCGGAGACCAATTATAGTTGGGATCTGCTGGAAGAGGCATTGGTGAAATAGAAAAGAAAGGTGGAACCTGTTTCTTCCCGATCCTCATTGATGAGAGATTAAATTTTCTTTTGACTTTCTCTCAGAAACAAAGATCAAAGAAACCCAAACAGAAGCTGAAGAAACCAAGCAAAAAACACAAAGAAAATTACCAAGGAGAATAAGGAAGTGATCTTTCAAGACAAAGGGATTAGATTTTGCTATGAGATCAGTATCAGAGAGAAGGAAAATAAAGAGAAGATAAAACCCAAATACTTCCTGTAATTGATTTGCGAGAGCGAAAGAGGAAGAAAAAAATTAAAACAAAATAAATTTAATTAATAATTAAAAATAGACACTTGACATCTTGTGAAAGCTGACGCACGAATTGGAGACAGGATTTGGATTCACTGGGGCTTTACTGCCTGGGATTCTCACACTTGTCAATGAAGGAAATGATGTACGGATAAGGTGTGGTGTTCAAAACGCGATGCTCGTCTACTGCTTTGACTCGTTGGTCAAAATACCCGCTAACGCATTTTATTCAATTTAATTGTTATGCTCGAATTAGAAGTAATTTAATTTTTTAATTTTAAAAATTATTTTAATTTAATTTTTTTTAATAATATCTAATTTAGTCGTTAAAAAAGATAACATGGCACTAACAGTTAAGGTAGATGGCACCTCTATTCAATAGACCAAAAAATTTATCATTATACACAAATCTTTAGTTTTAATAATTTATTATTTTTATTTTTTTAAAAAAATTAATTTATCTTGAAATCATTTTATCTCTTAAAAAAAAAAGACTTGACAACATTTTAATATATCATACGATAACCTTCTAACATGTTATATCATTTTAATAAAATAATTTGATATTATCACGTGATATCATCGTATCAATATATTAAAATAACTTGATAGTGTCATATTAGCATACTATCTATATTAATTATTAAGTTAATAAAAATATATTTAACAATTAAATTAAATATAAAAAAATAAATTAGATCAATTCTCAAAAAATAATAATTTAGATTGTTTCAATTTAAGTACATAAGCTAAATTTAACAAAATATATGAACATAGAAACCTCTGGCTATTTTGACCAATCTTCATTAGCTCAAGTCCTGAATTGACAGCTTTGATTTGGTAAAGAAGAGAACCAAAGAAGATGAATGGAAATGAGTAGGGGAGATATATCCCCAAAGCCCATATTTATATTCATTACTAATCAGATGAAAAAATATATAAGCTGGATCCCTAACAATTTTAATACATGAGCAAAACCCAAGACATTAGCAACCAACCATCGAGCCAGCTCCTTTGCACAGAACACTACATAGCGTCTACAAAGCCAACAGCAACTAACACACTACCCAATAGGCCAAATGCCCATCTCTCTCTCTCTTCAAAAAACTCCAAACACCAAAATCAAAACTGCTCTTTACCAACAAGTAGTGCAAATTTTCATCAGAAAAACCAGGTTAGCTACTTTATAGATTCTGGTAAAAATCCAAAACTCATCACTCACCAGTCCCGTACTAACCCAAGTGGTTTTGGCAAAAAATCACAAAAAGGTACACGTCTGGTGAAAAGAAATGCCGTTAGTTCTTTTCGACCCAGCCCGAGAAGCTTATGTTCCTATTATCATGATGATGTTGTCGTGCCATTAGTGGTCTGTTTAGCCACATAAATCTGCTTCATCTTTGAAGTGGGAAAGTTCTTGTCTCCACCCATGGATTGGTTTCTTCCTTGGAAACCCGTTCTGCGATGGGTCCATTCCCCAGCGCCGTTCTTTTGTGAAACACCACTTCCTCTCTGATGACTATACCCCGAGGAGTTACTGTAATGCTGGGAAGATATATTCTTTTGCTGGGAAGACTGAGCCTTGACTGCAGAGTTTGTGCTCTGGCCACTACTTTTCATACCACCACTATTTTGAATATCCTTGCCAGTATCTGCAACTGTGGTAATTGCAGAGCTCTTAGCAACATTCTGTGCTGAAGTTACAGCAATGCTGGAGCTAGATGGTTCCACCAACCCTAGTTCATCAGGCAACTGGGTGACAGTTGCATCTGTTGCCACAGGGAATTTCTGACTGCTATCAGAGGGTGTTGATGTTCGAGACTCAGGGAACCTGTTGCTAGTCAATGACTGGTCAACAGGAGGCCCCTGGCTGAACTGAGAAGCTAGTACACCTTCTGCCTGTTGTTGCAATGGCATTGATGGTGGAACAGACTGAAGAGGTGAAGCAGGAACATGAGACCAACGAGCTTGGACTGACATGTCTGGAGTGGACTGAAGTAGAAGTTTTAAAATAAGCATTAGTCAGATCGGATCAAATAGGACACGTCAAACAAGATCTTCAATAATTCTAATCATCCAGCATTATAAGTGCACCTATTCAATAAAATCTAGCTTAAAATCATTGATGACTACATCTAGAACATCCATATAGGCCTCTAACTTTTGAATTGTACTATAATTAAGAATCTTAAGAAAAAGAAAATGAGAAGGAAAGAAAGACTCTTTCCATACTTAATTTGTTGATAACAAAACAAAAAATTAATATTCTAGATACAAATTAATTTGAAAAAATGAAGACTAAGTCTCAAAAAAAAAGCACCCCGGGTGACCATTAGTGATGCTAACAGTTTAATAGCTTGAGGTTTGCAAAAACTTGTACCTGGAAAGGAGAAACATCAAACATAGCAAGTGGAGATGCCATGGGCAGAAGAGGCGACCCAGGGCCAGGGGCAAGATGCTGGATTTGAGCAGGCATGTTGGTAGAATTACGCTGAGAAGATGCCATATTCATATTGTTCAAATCCCCTTCGCCAACACCCATTGCAGAAGAAGCAGGGTTGTGCTTCCAGTCAGGTTGCTTTCCTGATGGGATGTAGGTTGTACCCATGAAACTTAGTCCAAACTGTCCTACTGGAGCAAAATGATTGTACACAACCATATGCGGTGGGCCTTGAACCCCAGGGATGCCTCCAGGTGGGCTGATAAAATGGCCAGTGAATCCTGCTGGAGGACCATAGAATGAATCTACTCCAGAATGGCATTGTTGCCAGGTCCCCAATGGACCTGAAGCTGGTGTGCTACTCTTCTGGGACTGTGATTGCGTAGATGAAGATTCCTCATGTGGTCCAAAGGCAAAGATTGGACCCCCCAACATGGGATTCATTTCATAGAAGGGGAAGTGCGAAGGAGGGCCTCCTGGAAAATGTGAAATCATCTGGCTAGAAGAATTTTGTGGACTAGGCAAAGGTGGCCATAAAGAAATTGGTGGGTTCTCAACAGAAAGATCTGCAGGAAGAGAAACACTTAGAGACTCTTCAGCCTTTGATTGACTTGCTAATTGCTGATCACCATCACCTGCAACATGGACGAAAAAAGAAAAGCCAACTTGGATATTAGCATCCATACAAGCAAACACATACAAGGCTCCTACCATGACTGCAGATTAATTTGTTACCCACCTGTAGTGATAACTTCAATGTCTGCACCTCCAAAACTTTTATTATCAGAAGCAGAAACGGTGCAGGTACCCATCCCATTCCCAACAATCTCATCACTAGTTATGGCTGCAACAGCAACAGCTGAAGCAGCTGCTTCAGCTTCAGCTTCGCAGTCTTCCAAATGGACACAAGATTCATTTGAGTGCTTCTCTTTTTCAAAGAAAAGGGTGCAATCATTCTCAGCTGCAGAAAGATTGCGGGAGATCTGAATTTCTGATCGAGATGGACCTGGAGGGCCAATCCCATGTGGAACAGCACGGCTGCTAGGAGCGAGTACTGTTGGAGATGTAACTGCTCCTGTATAAAGTAATGATATCCTTCAGATACAGGGCAACAGTAAACCCAAGAATCTATATAATATCAGAAAGAAAGAATACACTCACCGAATTGTATTTTCTCCCCAGCAAGCAAAGAACTTATTGGACTGGCAGCAGAAGAAAATGACTTGTCCTTCAATACGATGGATGAGGATGGCATGCTGGGCTCAGTAACTGAGCTAGTGCGATCTCCAATAGATGCACAAGTATCAAATTGAACAGGCTTCATAGCATCATCAAGTTGGGTCTGCGTCAGTGTCATTACCTAGGAAATAAAACCAAATAAGTTCCAGACTTCCTCCAATGTATTGTCCAAATAATTAGAAGAGAGAAGACCAGCAGCTACAAGCTTAACAATCTAGAATAAACTCAGACTAAATGCATAAAAAAATAACCTGAAAATACATGACAGTTAATCAACCTTCACATGACAAGTTCACTCATAATAAGAATGCAGAATATACCAGCCTGAAGTTATAAGGAAAAATGGTACCACAAAAGTCAGCAATAGATTAAAGTTTGCAGTACCATAGTCTAAAGTATGACTAAAGGCATCCTGGAAACACAACACAAGTGCAGAAATGCACAGACACAAGTGCATGCAGATGTGCACAAAAATTGTATCAGAGGATGCACGAATGCACTACACATACTTAACTCCAACCCAACTTGATGATGTTGAAGAAAAGTCCAGAAGAAAGCAACCAAGAAAGTAACGCCTGAGCATGCTGGTAGGCATGCATATAAATTATCAGATTCCAAAGTAGCGATAAAAATAACACAGGTGGTAGGAGCTATATAGTCAGATCAGTCACAATATAAAACAAGGGGAGAGAAAAGAATTTCATGAAACCCATGAAAAGTTGCACAAAAGGCAAAATTGAGTAATCATCAGAATTCCATGAGTCTTGCAGATATATTAGAAACAGGGCACAGTGTTAACCTGCTATCAAAGTTAGTAAGTCAGTGAATGCAATTCTTCATACCTGTTGATTAATGCGTGAATTACCCCACGAACCCAAAGATGTCTGAACATTATCAAGAACCTTACTCTTGCTCTCAAACATGAAGCCTGATACTAGGTTTGGTCCACCACCTGAGGTGGTTGGAAGGGAGGTTGTCTGGAGCGACCTGTAGAAAATCATCACATTAGCAATCTGTATGCATATTTTTCAGATGTACATTAAATTCGTTTGGAGAGTGTATATACTTCACTGCCTGCGTTCTTATATCAGCCTGTGCATCAGTTTTAATGGCAGGAGTACCAATTGGAGCCAAGGGTTGGGACACTATAGTTGCCCCAAATCCTGCTGATACAAAATCAGAGCGCACATTGTTAACTACTCCACTTGCTGAAGAAGAATTTCTATTTGAGCTGGCTGAGACCATGGTATTTTGTGTGGTTGCACGAGGTTTTCGCGGTGCCTGTCATTAAAAAATTAAATAAATGATGTTAATCAACATGGTCTTATTGCACCGAACCAGCAAAAAGAACAGGAGAAAACATCTTATTGTAAAGTAAGTGACAAAAATAGTTTTAGTTCAAAGTGCATTAGAACCTTTGCAACTCGAGACTTTGCTTTAAATTCTTTTTCTCTCTGCTCACGTCTGTCATTAAGCATTTGCCTCTTTGATCTAACCTCGATGAAGTCATCTTCATCACTGGGAGCTTCTATTCCAGGTTGCTCAAAAACACGCACAACGCCACTTTGCAAAGGAGCATCTACATCCTCTTCAATATTCCTCTTAAGATTATCTTCCTCAAAGCGTGAGATATTCTGACTCCTCATCAATGATTCTTTTCCCAATCCCTTTTCATTCCTGTTCCCAGAATCTATCTCCTGGGAACTACCCAGAGCTGAATTGGAGCATTCTGATTCAATTGTCTGTTTTGATTTATTCACCACAACAACTTTCCTCACCCCATTTCTTGTGGAAAATCCAGTACTCCTTCCATTGGCATTTGATTTTTCATCCAGCCCTAGTTCATTGGGGTGGTTTGAAGAAACCATTCCAGTCTGCTTCTTATCAGAATTTTCCCTAATTCTAAACTCTGTTCGAGGACGTCGAGCCCTCCTCTGATATCCACTAGACTCTTGACGAGAGGCCTCAGAAGCCAGAGAAGCTGATCTTGGGTTAGATCCTTTAACTGTAAAGACATACTTTTTCCCCCTATTACTATAAGTTTGGCCCCTTAATCCACTTAACTCTCTCTCTTTTGAAACTGACTGGGAAGATGTGAGAACTGTTTGAAGTTCACCTTCGAATTGTTTACTAGACAGCCCTTTGAAGTTTCTATGGACTGAATTCTGTTGCCCTTGGTCTTCTGAAGGGAAACCTGACCCAGACCTTGCTGTGCTATCACCAATATTTGATCTCTCGACATGACCATGCTGTTTCATAACATTTTTCCTGGCTGGTATGGAAATTTCCTCTTTCAACACATTCCCATGAGATAAATCCAATGACCTTGGAAGACCTGACTGGTTATCCAAAAGAGATGAAACTTCGTTTTTCATCAGACTATTCGCAGAGGTGTCTTGACGGGGCTGAACAGGCAGAGAGACTCCAGGGTTCTGGTTCAAGGAGAAGTTGGCTGGAACATTTGGCTGGACAAAAGACACAGTTTGAGGAGCCAATGGCAGCACTCCCTGGGAAATAGGAGATGTATACCTTAGCTGGCCAAATTGAAAGAGAGGAGGCTGTGACGGGTGCATTTGGGTGAGGGATGTGCCAACCTGAGGATGCAGATGGAGAGGCATCTGTATAGAACCAATCTGTATGGCTGGAACTGGAGACGGTATTAAAGAAGGACCTGAAAACAGCCCAAATTGAAGCTTAAGAGGTACTTCAGCCTGATTAGGAACAGAAGCAGAAGAAAGGATGCCACTCTGACCACAAGATGAATGGGAAGACATGCTGACAGAAGAGGGGAGAGAATTTTCAGCCAACACACCAGTGCTTCCAGTAGCATCAAGATGATCCATTAAATCAGTAGCTATCAACGCTTGAGGAGCAGTATTAGGCTGAACAACCAGATCTTGCATTGCCTTCTCAGTTTCGTGGAAGATTCTAGAAGAACTATCTAAACTCCCTTGGGATGGAGCATCCATAGACTGAAGGGTATTTCTATCACCATACATCCCATCAAAAGATACGGTTTCTTCTACAGGTATCTGTTTTATTGCATAAGTAGAGTCCTCATTCCTTGAACTTCTTTCAAACTCATCATTAGGCATGCCAACCTCAACCCCCTCATTGAAGCCTAAGACCAAGTTGTCCATCATGTCAGGCGACTCCTTAACCTCTAGATGCATTTCATTAAACTCTTGAGCCAGGTCAATATTGCCATCATCTCCTTCTTGCACTTCATCTTCTTCCTGGTATGCATCTTCATCCTCATCATATTCTTCTTGCTCCTGCAACTGTTCATTGTTATCAACAGTCCATTCCTCATCATTACTAGCTGAAATAGAACTTGAGGCAGTCAGATCAGTCTCTTTCCCAGCTTCAGTAGGTAAGACAAGGGGTTCAAATGCCTGCCTTGGCAGGTCAACCTCTTTACCCTCTTCAGCCAATAACACTGCAGAATCTCCAGACTCATCCAAGTCATCGTGAGAAAGATGAACCGGAGAATCTGGGGGGCTTGAAACTGAGAGGGATGACTGTGAGTCACACCCCGCTGCATTCCCATCCACTTTCTGTGCCTCATTCTCAGTATTCTCAGGCTGAGTATCTATAATTCCATGCTGTACAAGATCGTCTTGATGACCACTATCATAAACTATCTCCATGGCAGATCCACCTCTTGTGGCATGATTGTACCGTATCTCATTTTCTAAGAATGTTGAGGGACCAGGATGCTCACGCTCATCTCTATATGAGGCTTTTTGCATTGAAGACAAAGTTGGAGGAGGTAAAACACGAGGCTGCCTCACAGAATATCTTGACCTCCCAAAGGAATAAAGCCCATCACCCTCAGGGTTGTGATAGAATCTTTCAGGGTAAGGAGGATAAATATTACCACGAGAACGCTGCCCCCATGTGACATCACCATAATTCTCAGCTAGATTCTCATGATATTCAGATTCAATCTCAGCATTTCTGCCATACTGATCACCATCCCCAGAAACATTCCACCTCTGACCCTTTGGCTGACCAAAATCATCCATGTGGGGTTCCAGAACCCCTGCTCTATAGAAAGGCCTGGCAGACACGTATGCAGCACCTCCATATGACTCTTTCTTTGGAAATGGTCTTACCCCAACAGATCCATCTCGCCTGGGGCTATGGTGAACATTCTCTGTCTCTTGCCCAGTGAAGGCTGAGCTGTTTCCATTCTCAAATACATCTCTCCTCCATGAATTAAAGGGCTTACCTCTATCTGAAAATGCAGAAGAAGCATTAGAGAAGTGAGGCCTAGAAGTCATCTCAAAGGGTCTATTTAGACCAGAAGAATCAGAAGAAGCTGAAGTTGTTATTCTTTCCACCATCCTTTCACCATCTTCCCAATCACCCACATCTGTTGCTTTTGATACATCTCTTTCTTTCACCATCCCTGAAATATTTTCATCCACTCCAGCAGAAAAACTACTACCACCCTTTGCTGCTTCAGCCTGCCTCTTGGCAATCCTTTCCTCCAACTCTATGAGTTTTTGTTTAGCAGCCTGTTTCCTCCTTTCCTCCTCCATAAGAATCCTGCGTTTTTCCTCCTCTCTAGCTAACCTCTGTTCTTCTGCCCTTTGCAAGGCTTCCAATCGCTCTTGTTCAGCTCTCCATGCAGCTTCCCTAGCTTCTTCTTCTAACCTTCTCAGCTGCTCCTCTTGTTCCCTTGCCAACCGCAACCTCTCCTCTTCTTCTCTACGAGCTTGCTCCAAAGCTCTTTCCTGTTCTTCAATAATCCGCTGCCGCTCCTGTTCTTGCAACTTCTGCACTCTCTCAAGTTCAGCCTCAAAAGATTCCCTGACAGGGTCATGAAAATCAGTTTGTTTTAACATATCTTTCTTCCTCTTGACCACCCCAACAAGATTTCCAGGAAAAGGATCCCGTCCATCGAACCCAGTAGCCACAAAGTCCTTCATGAAAGGGTCTTCTGTATAAGGTTTTTCATTCTTCAACAATGGACGCTTCTCTCTACCAAAATTTAGTATCGGATCATTAACAGGAAGTCCTCTACCACCCAAAGAGAAAGATGACTTTGATAAGGAGCTATTCTGGAAAGCATCACCTTTGTATCTATTGAATTGTTCATTGCCATAACGCTCTCTTGTATTCCTCTCAGACCCTCTATTGCTAAATGAATCTGTTGTGCTGTTCCAAGCTTGTCTTCCTCCATGTCCATAACCCACATCCCTCCTAATATCATCCTGAGCATTATCCCGGAAAGGTGATGGAATGTACTTATTCTCCTTTTCTCTGTTCATACTTGAAGTCCTTGTGCCAAAACCATTTCTGTCACTTGCAATCTCTTGAGCACCAGCTCCCTCTTTAGGAAGAGGGGAAGAAGCTCTCCATCCATTCCCTTCCCGCCCTTCTCTACTTGGTGTTTTTGCATCTCTGCCATAAGGGTCCAATTTATGGACTTCACTGGAAGGAGTTCGTCCAATTTCACTGTCACGCTGTCCCCACCTGTCAAAAAGACTATGAGCTGGTTTGTGTAGCGGCCCACCAGCCCTTGGCATTTCCAAATCTCTATCCCAGCAAGCTTCACTTTTTGAATACCCATGATCCCTCCCACGGTCTGTAAAACCCTGACCAGTATCGCGTTCATCATCAGCCCAATCAGATCTTGGGTTCAAGCGCACCAATGGAAGTGGCCCAGGGAAGTACTCATCCTGCTTCCTATCTTGCTCTCCTAAACGAGAACCGCTTACACCGTGACCTTCGCTGCCATTCTCACTCAATTCATTGCCAATAGCAATTCTTCCCAATTGCAATTGAGGACGCATATCAATAACTGAACTCGATCGAGAACCATCCCGATTCTCATTAGACAACTCAACTGCTAATGGCTTCTGTTTCTGATTCAAACCATCCTTCTGTTTCTTTTCATTCCCCAATACAATAGGCAAAGCTGCCTGCAACGACGGGAAATCCTCTCCCCTCAGCACTGTAGCTTTATCCAAAGGTGGAAAACCTTGAGCTGAAGCAGACACCGAAGAAGTCGGCCCTCCCACACCTGGCCTAGCCGAAGGCGGCATATAAACACCACTACTTCCCCTACTAACCCCATCACCAGTATCCAAACCCTGATCGACCCCATCATCCACATGATCACCACCACCAACCAACCCTTCTTTCTCCTGCAAAGCAACTGTACCGGGCTTTGTCCATCCCATGCCGGACGAAGACGGCCTTGGCCCACTACCAGGAATACCTCCACTGGCAGGCACACCACCGGGGCCCAACGAATCAAACCGCTCATGCTCCTTTCGCAAGGATGGTAAATTCAAGGGGGGTGGAACCGATAACTTTGGCCCAGCCTTTTGGGAGCTACGAGGCCGCGAAAGGACCACCATTCCTCCCCCTCCTCCACCGCTAGCACCGGGTCGTGCCCGATTTGACCCATAAGAACCCGGATGATGTGAATGGTAGTGATGTTTAGATGATTGTTGGCCATAGGACTTGTTCAGATTGACTGAAACAAACTTATTCCCAACTCCGGGATTTGCCATCTGAGGGTCCAACCCGAACTTTAACCCCTTTGACGGATTCCGATGATCCCCGCCAAAGCATCAAAACCCTAACCCTAGATTTTACTTTCCTCAACAGATCTCTCGTAGCAAAATTGATGATCAGATAATAAATCAATCAAAACCCTCACAACTCCCTGATCAAAATAAATTTAAAAAACCGCAAAAATTAATATATTAATAAACTAGATCAATCTATAATTTTTTCTTATTAATTAGTGGCGCTACAAAACGAGAAGGAAAAGAAGAATAGCTCGAGAGAGTGTGTTATTTTAGTTTCTAATTAGGGTTTCTATTTAGATGTCAATTTTTGTTTTCATTTTTAGAAAGAAAAAAAAAATGGGAAGAAAATAGAGTGTAGGATAAGGACTTACCTCCGGGGCGTAGGATAGAGACGGCGGAAGCTAACGTGAGCCGCGCGGATTAGAAATCAAATGCCCTACTCACTCCGAACCAAAGAGAGAGAGAGAGAGGAGAACGAGAACTGAGTTAAAAGCACGAGAGAAAAATAAAGAACGGTTTTCTTTCCCTTTTTGTTGTTTCGTTCCCCTATATTTATTTTTATTTGTATTGTTGCCCCCAAGTTTATTGTCTTCTTTGATTACGTGTGTGTGTGTGTGCGGACATTTAAAGTGTTGGACCTGTTTTTTTTCTTACACGTGCGTGGCTTGTACTTTGAACCGTAAATTACTAGATTGTGGAGCAGAGTTCTGTTTATTGAACTGCCGTGACTGTGATTTTTTACAGTTTGACAGCGGCAGAGATGGGTGGCAGCTGTAAGATAAAATTTGTACCGGCAGTGAATCTTTGTCTCTCTTTTTATCTCGAGATTGAGTATGGTAATACTATGTACTGTACCTTTTTCCTTATAAAAAGTTTGCCTGCGGATATTGATGTCTAAAGTTGTTTTGAGTAAAGAAATGGAAAAAGATTTATTTATTTAATCTTATTTAATTAATTGCTACTCATAAATACTATTTGTTTCTGTCAATTTAAAATGAAAACTTCACTTGCAAGTAAAAAGGATGTTAAAGATAACATAATTGACATCCTACAAGATAAAAGAGTCATTAAAACAACTCTATCTTCCATCTTTATATAAAGAGTCATTAAATAACAATCCACAATGGTAATTAATGGGGTATTTGTATCTAAATCTAATTATAAAATTTAATACTCATATTTATCCACACCCCATTGATAATTACACTATTAAAAACCAATTACAGTTCATACTCATTTAATTAAAAATATTGTGGATATCTACTACAAAACTTGACCTAATTTGAATTTAATAATAATAAATAAAATTTAATTATTTTTATATTTTTTATTAGTCAAAATTAAATTAATAAATTTAGAATGAATTTTATATTTAGATAATTTATAAATAAAATAAATAATTTATCTATTATAAGTAATAAATATATTAAAACTAACATAAAAACTATAATAATTCATTATTTATAATATTTATAATTGAGATCTAGTAATCGATACTTTAAAATTATTATCCGTAATTTACCTAAACTCATTTGTAAAGTACTTTAATCTTATTTAAATAAGTTGGGTAATGTAGAATACTCAACATACTGCCTATCATCATCCCTAGACCAACTTTTTTATTTTTTACATTACATATAATTAAGATCCATGTATTATTATATATATGAAAATTAAGTCTGAGTTCTTTAGGAAGAATTTCTTAAATTGCTTAGTGTAATGTTTACAGATGTGTTAAATTTGATGGTTTTAGTATTAATTTAGCCTCATCTTATAAAAACAATGCTACTATTAATTTAATCTCAAACTTTTAATTTTAATTTTTTAATACTACTAAATTGATAATTACAACATATAAATTCTACAAAGTTTCTTATGAGAAAAAAAAAAGTTCTATGAAGGTAGTTTAGCATACCATTAAGCAAAAGGAAAAGGATTATGTTGGCGAGTTTATCCCAACAATTAATTAAGATTAACTTATTAACTTGAAAACCAAAATCTTTTGAACATTTTTAAATGTAAATAAAGTTACTTTACATTATTAGAATGCAATATCTAACATTAACAAATCCATTCGGCTTACTTTTGTAAATGAACAAACTAGTTTGTTAAATATAGTATTTCCCTTTAACCAAATAAGCTTATACACATTAATTTAGTTTAACCAATCACTAAAACCAAAAGAACAAGCACCTTTCGAAAAAGAAGAAAAAGAATATGCGAATTATGTGGTAGAATGATTCTATTGTAATACACGGTAGTACATTCTTATAAGCTAGCGTAACTTGCTTGAGTTATATATGTTTGATGTGATATTATATATTCATAAAGTATTTTAATTGTCAACTAAGGCATAAGCAAGTAAGCTTCATTAAAGTTACTTGCTCTGTTGGCACATGCAAGCAAGAATGTCAATGGAAACTATTACGACCTAAATTCAGAGGTTTGTGATTGACGTACGAGTCCAATAGATAAATTCACTAAATCTAAACAAGTCTTAGAGTTTAAAAACAAATAGCACATAGCCAAGAAATTTCATATGTCATATACAAAAATAAAATTGAAGTTCAACATATTACACCATCCTTAGCACATAATTCATAGAATTATCATAAGATCATACCTTAACCATTCAAGATGAGTTCGTACATAACAACCATTAGTACACAATATTACATGACACTTAGTGCTTCCAATATCTAATTCATACAATTATCATAAGATCATACATTAACCATTCAAGATGAGTTCGTACATATCAACCATTAGTACACAATATTACATGACACTCAGTGCTTCCAATATCTAGAATATATTACTTTCTAAACTTAAAATTTCGAATGCAAAAGCTAACGTGAACTTGACTCAACAAAATGACTAAAATAAAGGACCAACCAGATGTCAAAATTGGTCTGTCAATAGACGACCCTTACCACGCTTTGTCTGTGGCTTATTTATTTGCACATGACACAACATGAGTGAGTGAATGATGCACATAATCATAATTATATACATACATTGAACTTATAATAAATGTTGCACTCCCCATGCATCAACATAATCTAGCAAACATCTCCAAGCATAAGCCATAATATTATCCTTAAGTCTCTCATATGGGGGCATATCATCATTTCCAACTTTTCCAAAGATCATCACTCGTCATACCAAATCAACGAGTGATTTTCCTTGACATAGTCAAATCACACATGGTGACCAGCCAACGGATAATCAAATCATGCACAAGGCAAAGCCATTGGTAAAGAACAAATCTTTAACGTACCAAAGCAACCGTAGAGAATGAAATCATGCATAGTGCTGAAATAACTAACAGAGAATCATATCATCAATCACAATAATCTCTAGACCATCAGCATCGCCCGGAGTAATTTTTAGTTTGAGGCATCGTCGGGAGTAATCTCTCGTTGGTGGCATCATCCAGAGTAATCTCCCAAAGGACCGCATCACGACACTGCAAGTAGAAATCACAAGCAAGACTAAACCACAACCCTTGTTTACCACCATCCCTGCATGCACACACATAGTCACATGGTAACGAGATCTACTCAACTTCAAATTAAATCAACGTCCGAAATTCATTCCTCAGATAAAATATAATTCCATGATGAGATCATCATGTCTTTATCTTTCCATATGTCCAACATAATAACAATCACATTTATCGAGCTTCATTTGTCAATAAGTTCATTAAAGTTCTAAGTGCCTTAATAATCATGACTCATTGGTTACATATACATCAACAATTTTGTTTTAATTTAATCATGGCTTAATAGCCACATTTCCATGAATAATATTACATAAGATCATACATCAATATTTCGTCAATAAATGGGCAATCTAATCCCATGTAATAGTATCACCATCACACTGATTTAGTCTTAATATATCCAGCAGCCACTAAAATCATACATCACATAGATATCTAATAACTCACGCTTCTCAATGGCATTCATAAGTAAACATATATATTGACATGTACATTAACAACATATTAGCCTAGGCACATTCATCTAGGCAATCACATTCACATGTACATAGATACATAGTTCTATAGCTTAGGCTTATTCAACTAGTCTACATTCATAATATAGTACCAATGCAATGCATTTTTCATGTGTTATACATCACATGCATCTAATTAATCCATTCACAGTGACAAATTAGATATGCTCTACATCCAAGTTTCAATCCTTAGCCTCCAATCGTGTTTCAATTCATAAACATGCGTAAATGACTCAGTCTTACTTTAAGCACATCAAAACATCACGAAACTAATTAAATCTCGATTTTCAAAAAATGTCAATTTTTCTAAAAATAAACAAATTCTTAGCATTCAACATACAAGCTCAAATCCTTCAATAATAAGCTAAACTCATACCTTAGAAGTTGAATTATATAATTATTTATTCTAAATCTCTAGTCAACTCAAGAAGGCCAATTTCTTCAAAATTGGATTAAATTAAATCTAAGTTATTAACTAATTAAATTGAAAATCAATCTGTAAAACGCTTAATCTTACCTTTAGAAATGTTTCCCAAGCTCTAATCCACTCCAAATAACTCTAGGTGCTTCAAAATCAATTTAGGAGGTTAGGGTTTTCGAATTCTAAAGGGAGAAAGTGAAAATAAACTTAATTTTTTAGGCGTAAAACTCTTACTTTCAACACTCAAAATCCTTAATTTATCAATGGAATTTAGTGAGTTTGAAGGATGAAAGTTTAGAGAAAACGAGTGGAGAATAAAGGTGAAGGAAGAAAATAAGAGAAAGTCGTGTTTTAGGGCTTTTAAACCCATTTTAATTTGATATGGCAATCTAGGATCGACTATAGTGGACTTGTAGTCGATCCTGGACTAGTAGAATGCACCTTATTTTCCTTCATAGGATCGACTATAAGCCCTTTATAGTCGATCTTAGATCAATATGTCCAGTTTATATTCAATTTTTCTTCACAAGATTGACTATGGAAGCCTTATAGTCAATCTTGGACCAGCATACTCGACTTTTTAAGTCTAGATTCATTAAAATGGCTATTTGCAAAGTCTAAACTTATTCTAAACTTTTCCCACGAGCTTAAATCATTGGAAAATTCAAATGCACATATAACATATAATTGATTATCATATGACATACAAATTAAAACCTCAAACCATAAAATCGATTCAATATTCTCATATTTCCTTGAGGCATAATATACTTAATAAATAATTATTAATTGACTTAATTTAATTGAAAATTGAAAGTATTACAAAAACTTAATGACTCCATTAAGTAAAATTAAGATGCCTTATAATTAAGTTTAGGTAATAAAATTATTACTCATCGTGTGTTCAAATAATAGTCTTTAAAATACTCATTATCAAAATCTGATTATAAATAATAATTTTTTATATAAAATTTTAATTTATATATATTGCATTATATTTATAAATTTCTTATGATTAGTATAATACTTAATAAAATTCATTAATTTTTGCAAATATAATTTTAAACTTTAATTTATTTTTCTATAAATTGATTTTAATTTTAATTAAAAATACACATAAAAATAATTTTAAATTTATTTTAATCGAGTACTTAACCATTACAACTATTTAACAAATAATATTTAAAATATTCGTATATAAATTCAGATAATAATTCAAAATTTTAATCAATATTTATATAATTAAAATACTTTATCAAATAATCAAGTTCGGTTAAGATACTTAAAAAAATAGTATCCTACTATTTGACATCTCTACAATATTACAAAATTATCCTAATTAACTGTATTAAAATTGTAATTGACTTCCAAAGTTATCAGGGAATCATGCCTCAGCCTATACCTGAACGTGTGAACTCAAATTAGGTTCCGAGTTGGTCGACAAGAAGGCAGCAATTTGGAACACCAAGAGAAAGAGATCATGGCTTTGGATGCAATCGAAGCTTCATCTCCTCCCTCTCAATCACCTTCTAATTTCAGGTGCTTCCCCATTGTTTTTAGTTTTCAGTTTATTTACTTAATTTTCATCCTAATTTTTCTTTTTCTTTTTTAAATAAATTCATGAATTTCCAGTTCTTCGAATCAACTTCGCCACTTCTACGTCGCCGTCGACAGACTCCACTTCAAAATGGTCCTCTCTCTCTCTCCTTTACCCATTCCTATTTCGGTTAATTTTCAATTTTTCATTAATTCTAAATTGAGAAAAAAAAAACACCCGGAAAATGATAATTTACAGGAGACGTTAATTGACCTTCTAGGCGTCGCCGGTCGACGCACGTGCCTTCCGATAGTAGTCTGCTGCAGCTCACGTGACGAGCTCGATGCCGTCTGCTCTGCCGTCTCCAATCTCACTTACGTTTCCTTGTCGTCTTTGGTAATCTTTTTATCAATTTTACTTTCAACTATATAGTACCACTTGGACTATTAATTTTATACTTTTAATTTATGCCAGTACAGCGACCAAGCTGAAGCAGAACGGGCTTTAATTTTGGAGAAATTTAGGGAAGCAACGATGAATTGGAACCAACAAGTTACAGTTCAGACAGGAGATGGTCATGAAATTGGGAAAGATGAGCAGAAATCTTGTATGATTGTCGTAACTGATACCTGTCTTCCACTTCTTGCTTCTGGCGAATCTCCCATCTTGGCTCGTGTTCTGATTAATTATGAATTACCAACAAAGAAGGTACAAGTTTTGATTTGTTCTGTCTATCACTCACATTGTATGACACTATCTCTCTAGCTAGCAACTTGAGTAGTGTTTGTAAATGCTTGTGGATAGAACCCTTTAAGCTTCATCTTTCTATGTTATAGAATCTTAAGATTACGATCAAATAAACTATTACTCTGTCATTGAATCTATGGACTAAGCTTTTATTGTTTGTTTATAACTTGTTTATTCAATTGGGTGCTGGTAGCTATGGGACTAACACGACTGCTGACTACAAATCATATATTAGCAAGGATGGAATTGCTTATTTCGCTCTTACCAATTACCTTTTAGAGGTGTTTTACCTGACTATGTGCTCAGTGATGTAGAAATTTTGAAAAACTTTGAATCATGGCCCTTCTGCCTACTTTTAGTATGTTTCTGCTTGTACAATGAGGAAGTGAAGTCAGCTGTTAGAAGCAAATTTACTATTCTGTTTGCTAATTTTAATGTTTGGTTACCAATTTGCTATCCATGTGAGCTATTCATATGTAGAGTTATACCAATTTTAGCATGCTCATGTGGTGGTCATAGGGTTCTGACTTCTGAGCTAGAAGCTTATTTCAGGGCATGAAATACTACAGTTCATTTTCTTTGAATGTTGTTTTTGTGTGTTACTATATGTTGTTTGTCAAATCCATCTGTCAAAGATTTACATTTGTAACTTCTGTTTTTCTACTTGGCCTTGCTTGCAGGAAACATATATGAGGCGCTTGACTTCATGTTTGGCAGCAGGTTCCTTCCCAGCCATAATACTTTATTATTCACACATCATGAATCTTATATTCCCAAAATGATTTCATTAAAATATAAGCAGATGGAATTGTGATCAATATTGTTGTTGGGGGTGAAGTGGTAACTCTGAAAAGCTTAGAAGAAAGCAGCGGCCTCATCATAGCTGAGATGCCCATAAATGTAAGCACAGTACTTGCTGTTGTTCTTTGATTTATGGATCAGTAAATATTATGATGGCATTAACTTGACAATGATGCCCAACTAGTTGCACTTGACAGCAAGGAGTCCCTTCTTCATCTTTAAAAACAATTTTAGTTTCACTTAGATTCTGTTTGGTTGATATTTTTGCCTTTTTTTGCCAAAAACGGACAAATAGCAAAAAGTGAATTACGAAAATATCAACTAAATGGAACCCTAGTATTGTTGTTCCAAGTGTAAGGATAATCTATTGGTGGTTAGGTTTTAGAAACTTTATCCACCATCTTTCTTTTAGGTTATTTATCAACCTTTGTGGTATTAACTCTGAATACAATCTTGTTGCAGATTTCTGAGATTTTATGATGATTTTTGGCCGTCTGCAGTTTCTAAAATGTGATAAAGGATTTGATCCTCCGCATTCTTTACGGCATTTAGAGTGTGTAAACATATCTGGTGGTGTATCAGATTTGACATTGATTTTGAGCATCATTCTTGTAATAGTTTATGCAGTCTCTTCTTAGTTTTAGTCTTTTAGATATAAGCTTCTTTTGTACCTCTAACCTCTTAACGACTTTGCACACTCCATTTGATTTGGTTTCAAGTGTGCATCTAGGAGTGCATCATGCTTTGCTTCATGATGGAGAAAAAACAGTGTAACCAACCTGTACTTGTTTTGAATAAAGAAATGAATTCGATCATAGCAATTAAATACCAACAACTTTATAAGGATGTTCGCAATTGATATGATTTGTCATTACCATTTTTTCTTCCTTTTGTTTGTTTTGTTCGATGCTTAAAATTTTCAGTTTTGAGGAAGAAAGACATCTTTCTTTTGCTGCAATGCGCAGTTCGGAGGATGTGTGGTTGGGCTGGGCCACCACATGATTATTAACATGTTTTGATATATTGCTTCTTGATTCGGGTGCCCCCAATCATGCTCGTCCTCGAATAGAAGACTGAGCCTGTTCGAGCCCAATTTATATATTTAGCTAAACGTCATGAACTCATGCTTATGGGCCGTAGTCTATCCAAATGGCTGTTGGCTTGTCAGGGATCAAATGAGCAGCTATGGGAGGATGAGATGTTTTGATTGACATGACCATGACGTTCTAATTTTCTTTCATGGGCCCAAAACATCAGAAAATAGCAATAAATACATTTTTTTTTGTAGTACTCAGATACTTTCTTTTTCTCTTTGGCCATTCATGTAGGGGTTTCTACATTTCTGTAACCTATTTTTAGGTCTCGGAGGGCCAAAGCTGTCTCTGAGGACCCATTGATCATTTACTCTATTCTAGACAAATAAATTTTGTGTCGACTTTGCCCTGCTAAGGGTATCTGAATTACCTTTTCTAGAGCAACTATTTTACCAAAAAAGAAAAAAAAAGGTTAAAATATTTTCGTCTTGAATCAAGATGTTCATTGGCCAAATAGACGAGAAGATCAGTAAGCTCATGTTGCGTACTTACAAGTTACAAATTGATAGCAAATTTTTAATATGATGGAAGCATTAATTCAATATGGCAAACGGAAGAGAAGAATCAAACAAGTAATTCATTCAAAGTTCTCTAAAAAGACAGTTTCACCAGTAAGTTTTCCCATAGCTGCATTATCGACGGACCTTATCTTGTATTCCCTGGCCTTAATCATTGAACAAAAACAATCATGTGACACGTATTTAGAAGAACCAATACATTTTTTTTTTCCTAACCTTATTTGAAACTAAAAACAATTATTGAAGCTTTAAATGAAGGCTTCCCTCTATTGATTAAGTAGTCCGCTCGGTGTATCCCAACATGTGAAAGAAGGAAATATCTGAGCTTGTGCGGTACCTATATAAACAGGGTTGAGCCTAGAAAGAAAAGGCTAAGAGATAAATCACTATGATTGGATTAAGATAGATTCCCTAAAATTTACTCAAACTGCAGCCAAGTGATCATCAGTTGGCTTTTGCATGGGATCAGCATGTGGCAGGGTCCCAGCAACAAGAGCTTTGGAAATTGGGAATTGAATGAATCAGGGAATTGTGGGTCACCTGGCTATATAGCTACAAGTTTCTATTGGATCATCAGTCAGCTAATAAGAGATACCATTCCCCATTTGGCGCACTAAGAAACCCTTTTTGAGGGAGTTCCAATCCATGGAAAACCAACTTTTTAATAAAGGGGGGGAACTAGAAGTCCATGTCCAATAGAGGGGAAGAAAGGAGACAGAAAAGACTCTTGCATTTGTTAGGGAGTGTAATATTTGCAATGTATTAAGAGCCCTTCATTGTCCCTACACCACGCTCTCCTCTTTCCCAGCAGGGCAAAGATCGATTAAGAAATCAAAACTAACCCAAAAACCAGCCCCCCCTTAAAATAAAAAAAAAGGGGCCATGGCCTGGCTGTTGCGACCATTTTGCTGTGGTCCCTTTTGCTCTAATAAGAGGCCATTGGTTTCATAGGCGCCCACAGAAGATTAATTAGCAAGAATGATTATGAATAAGGACCCTAAAGAATAATGATTAATTTCTAGGTTGATATCAATGATTCATGATCAAAAGTTATACCATATTTTTCTCGTTTTTTTTTTTGTTCCATAGTTTGTCTCATTTTTTGGTAAAACTATAGGCTCTTTCTACTTTCATTTGCTCGAAACAGTTTGCTTTCTCTTGTATTGTACATATATGGAGACATACATCCATACAAGGTTAATTGATCAAAGCTAGCTCTTCTTCTTATTTCCTTTTGTGGGTTGATAGTTTCTCTCAAACGTTTTTATATAGCACCGTCGTCATGCCAGGGAAGAAATAATTAAGAAATTGAAAAATGTTGATTGGTTAGGCTCGCCCATAATTTGGTCACATTTTATATCATTCGGGGACATGTGGGGGCTAGTGGGAGAGACGAAGACGTTCAAGCGGTGCAAGTGTGCCTCAAATGGATAGAAATGTGTGAAGTTTATATTTCAATAATGGGGGTGGATTTAAGGGTCCTGATTTTCATGAACTTGGGAAATTACACTCACCCAACATCAGTCACCATCCATACATAATTCCTCCAGCTTTTATTTGATGAATTATATGATTACTTTGGATTTATGCATGCAAATCCATTCAAAACTTGTAGACACTGATGTCTTGAATTGGTGCCAGCTTCCCACGTACAATAATAATGTTATGGATTTTCTCTTTCTTTTCTCTTTCCTTTTGAAAGATCCCTATTTGCAGATTCTCCCTATCATTTTGTATGACCTAGCCTCACACACACATGAAGTGAAGAGAAGAGAAGAGAAGAAAGAGAGAAGCTGGGTGAATTGATCTAGAAATTAAATTGTAAGTAAACATTATATATTCCAAAAAAAGTATAGGGTCTACCCACCAAAAACAAATGGAGAGCCCTCCATGCACAGTCTATCATGGCAATCATGTCTAGGTGATAAATGACCCTGCATCAAGCATGGAAATTGTAATGCAAAATGCAAAGTGTGTTCCTAATTCCTCCAACTTCAAAGCAAATAAAAAAATAATAATAAAGGCACGCTCAACCTTTTTCTCAAAGGCACGTGGCTAGGCCATCCATACAGGTGTCTTAAACCTTCCCTCGTTTCACCCTCGAAATGTTCTTTCCATTTTCCAGTTACTTTGTTATTTCTTTCTTTCTTTGTTTGGAGAATAAGAAAAATCCCTTTACTTTTTTTTTTTGAAAGGTAACCATACACATATAGACTCATTAAAGAAAATAAAAATTGAGCTCTCTTTTTGTAGATGCTTTACTAAAAGTTGTAAATTCATTAATAAATTTAGACGAATTTTAACAAGTGTTTTAAAACTTCAGATACTTAATTATGAAGGCGTGATTTTCGATGTATAAAATGAACGGAGATGATAAATGGGAATAAAAATAAATCAAACAAGATAGGGTTTAAAAAATTTGATAGATGCTTTGCCCTTGAAGTTGATAAAAGTTAACACAACTTATACTATTGCTTCTATATGTCTCCCCACCATGGCCCTGCAACAATCTATACACTGGGACGAAAGTGCATTGTTGCTTTGAAAAATAGCTCGAACAAGTGTTATTGCATTGTATATTTCACCCAAACCTTTCTCAACGTATTTGGCAAGTATGAGTATGAAGGAAAGGAAGTGCATGTGCTCAGGGAGAGTAGGTACATGAAGAAACGAGGAAAAGGAAAGGGAAAATTGGAACCGTTGGAGGCACCCCAAGAATGAATAAGGAAGGAAAGGACGGGGGGCAAAAGGGACCATGGAGACAAAACAGTGGTTGTTTTGGGGATTTACAGAGAGTTTGATGATGTGTTGACAGCTTTCCATGTTTGGCATTTGGAGGGACTGCCAGCATATTTGTTTTCAAAAACAAAAGCTCTTTTAGTGTACCGACGCCCCCCTTTCAAAGAAAAGGACGAACCACCCGCATGGCCTCCTCCTTTCCCTTATCCCTCCCCACACTCGTCCATTTCTCACCACCAAACCCTAACTAACCCTCCCTCCCCTCCCCTCTCTCTCCCCACTACTCTCTTTTCATTTTCTCATCAAAAAGGAGGAAGAAAGAAAGAAAGATAGAAAGAAAGAAAGGAAATTCAAAACACAGCTCTAGCTGGTGGTATATACACCTATTTTGCATGTTTTTAGAAGAGAGGAAGGATTGATTAACCCTTTTGTTTCCTTAGTTTATTAATCCAAGACCCTGTTTTTTTTTTTTTGCATGTTTTCAGAAGAAATATCCTCCAGGTTTTGATTAAAATGAGTGGTCAGGGAGTTGCAGCTTATTACAGTTCTACTACTCCTTTGTTGCCCAACGAAGATGATAGATTATCTCAAGAAAGTGTTAAGGATGTATCACCAGAGAAGAAAGATTCCTTTCAGTGCCAGTGTCAAGCTTGGCGACCATCACTTTCAAAGGTTAGTTTCCACAGTGACGCCACTATTCCTTGTATTTTTCGTTCCTGTTCTTTGTACTTGGTTTTGTTTTACCTTTTAGTAGGTAAAGAGGAAAAAAAAAGGGAGAAAAATCCAATGCCAAAAAATATCTTTTCTCTCTTCGTTTATCTCTCAGGTTGTTGAAGAGATCAAGCAGCTTTATGCCATAGCCCTGCCTATGATCATTACTGGCCTTCTTATCTATGGAAAGTCAGCAATCTCGATGTTTTTTATGGGGAAATTGGGCAAAGAAGCATTGGCGGGAGGGTCCCTATCGATTGGTATTGCGAACATTACAGGCTATTCTGTCATTTCTGGCCTGGCAATGGGAATGGAAGCTATATCTTCTCAAGCCTGCGGGGCCAAACAGTGGCCTCTTATGGGCCAAACCTTACAACGCACCATAGCCATTCTCACAGTATCCTGTTTGCCCATTTCAATATTGTGGCTAAACATTGAGCCCATCCTTCTTTTTTGTGGCCAAGACCCAGTTATCTCCACGGTTGCCTCTACGTATCTTGCATTCTCTCTTCCGGATCTACTCTTCCAATCTCTAATAAACCCTCTCAGAATTTACCTTAGAACACAAAACATAACCATCCCTCTTATGTTAAGTGCAGCTTTTGCCCTTGCTTTACATGCTCCTATCAACTACATCCTTGTCTATCATCTTAGCCTTGGCATCCAAGGTATAGCTGTAGCAGTTGCCTTGACAGATTTGAATTTGCTTATAACCCTTTTGCTTTACCTATGCTTCTCTGGCATTTGTGATAAAACATGGCAAGGTTGGTCCCTGGAATGCTTTGATGAATGGAAGCCAATACTTTGCCTGGCTATACCAACTTGCATATCTGTTTGCTTGGAGTGGTGGTGGTATGAGCTTATGATAGTCCTTTCAGGGCTTCTCACTAATGCCCCAGAGGCAGTCGCTACAATGGGAATCCTGATACAAGCAACTTCACTTATCTATATCTTCCCTTCCTCTTTGAGTCTAGCCGTGTCTACACGGGTTGGTAATGAGTTGGGAGCAAACCAGCCAAGCAAAGCCAAAATCTCGTCCACGATTGCATTATCATGTGCTGTTTTGACTAGTTTCATGGCTATGTCATTCATGACCACAATGAGAAATGCTTGGGGACAAATTTTTACAAATGATAAAGCGATTTTGTCGTTGACAGCAGTGGTGATGCCGGTGGCAGGGCTCTGTGAGCTAGGGAACTGCCCACAAACCACCGGCTGTGGGGTGTTGAGAGGGAGTGCTCGGCCAACTTTGGGTGCCAACATAAATTTGGGATCATTCTATGGTGTTGGGTTGCCTATTGCAGCTTTAATGGGCTTTTTCATGGATATAGGCTTGTTGGGCCTTTGGCTGGGACTATTGGCAGCCCAGGTGGCATGCGCTATTGTCTTGGTCATAGTGGTGGCTATAACAGATTGGTCAGTGCAAGCAAAAAGAGCCAGACAGCTGACTGGTATAAATGCAGAAGAAGAGGAGGAAGTTCAGAGCAAATTCCAGGGATTATTATCAGTTATGCTGGTGAATTAGCTTGTTTAAGTATAAATATTTACATAATTAGTACTTGTCGTTTTTTCTCTCTTTTTTGAGTTCATTATATTAAAAAATTTTGTATATTTGGGTTGTGAGGGACGGTTTTGTATAGGCTTACATATCAGGACCTGCTGTCTGGTTGAGTTTTAATATGAAAACCACAAATATGTAATGCAGGTGACCCTAGTTTATGCAGTGGTTTGAAAGGAACAAAGCAAAGTCCATGGTTTACATCTTAAATCCTAACATTCCTTCCAAGACAGACTAAATTATTTGGCTTTTTACTTCATTCCATTTCCACCAATAGATCAAGAAAAACCCTATTCTTACAAACTCTTCATTTCTACAAATATATATATATATATATATATATATATATATCAGTGTAGGGAATACCCTTTGTTGATTCGGGTGTTTGAGCCCTCTTTTGAAGCAAAGCAAGCAATAAGAGCTATTAGAACTTGGACAAAATGTTCAAGTGATTAGTCACTCGTATATCAAAACCAAAGATCTTATATTAGATTCTGGCAACTACCCTTTAATCCATCCTCCTTTTTCTGCTAACCTCTCACCTTGCAAGTGTGGATAAATGATCTTTAGTGGTATTTTGAGTAACAGCTACTTTAGTTTTACAGAAAAGGGGTAGTGATTGTTAATTCACAAACAATGTCCTATATGCTACCACAAAGTCCACTGTTTCCTTGAACCGTTTTGCCTCCTTTTGTCAATTTCTTTTCGTTCTAATGATTATTCATCGAGTTTCGAAAAAGAATAAGTTCTTCCGAGATTCCTCCTTTGAGTCCTCTGCACTTGAAAGTCTCAGTTGACATTAATCTTATATATCTATCATGAATGTATAGCAAACCCTTCACGCTTTTGGAAATCATATTGCTAAGAACTTAAACTGGTTCTGATTCTGACTCGCAGTTTTTTATTCTTCCTTTCTGTTATTGGTATATCCGTGTGCTACAGAAGTAGCCTAGTAAGACTCGCAAATCCTCTGTTCTTTAGCTATTCTTCAGACGTGAAACAATATTTGCAAGTGAATTCCACTATTCTATACGAAAGCACGGTCTTTTTCCCCTGTTATTCTGTACGTAATTCCTCACAGTTCCCAACAGAAAAAAGCTAAAGTGGTTTTTACTTTTGTATAATTAACATCAATCTTGCCGAAAGGCGAGAGTCGAATAGGAATCTAGCACGGTAGTGCCTATGATTCAACTTGTAGCGGAGGAATACCTTCCTTATGCTTTAGTTTGGCCTACCAAGTGGTATGTCTTTTCTATCACGCCATGACTTCAATCTGAAGTTGTATGGATGGAAATGATCACTTTGGAATAAGAATACCAGACCAAATTGCGACAGCCTTTCTTAAAAAGTGAAATTAATAGAGATTCTACTTGATCTCGCCATTTGATTCCTTATTAGTTAAGAAGGATAAAAGGGAATGTCAAATTGTCAAGGTTATATATATAGAGAGGTGCCTGACATAGGAGATCGTATCAGACTTACCAGTTTCAACATTGCATTTCCTACAGCAATATCCAAGGATGTCGAAATTGAGTTTTATCGAGTTCAAATATGGAGGGCTTCCGAGGAAGTTGTCAAGAAAACCAACTCAGTTGAGCATCACCAAGGAAAGGCAACAGTCTAACGTGTCTTCAAGGACTTATCAGCCAAATGCGGAAGAGATGAAATGGGTGTTCGACAAATTTGACACCAACAGAGATGGTAAGATCTCGATGGAGGAGTACAAGTCAGCTCTGAAAGTACTAGGCAAAGGAATGGCGGAAACAGAAGTGGCAAATGCATTTCGTTCAATTGACACCGATGGGGATGGCTTCATCGACTTCAAGGAGTTCATTGAAATGATGCGTAACATGGGAGAAGGGATCAATGCCAATGATATCCAAAGTGCATTTCGGGTGTATGATTTGGATGGCAATGGGAAAATAAGCGCAGAGGAACTGATGGAGGTGCTTAAGAAGATGGGAGAGAGGTGTAGCTTGGAAGCTTGTCGCAAAATGATTCGAGGGGTTGATGCTGATGGGGATGGTTTGATCGATATAAATGAATTTATTACCATGATGACTCGCACCATGAAGCCATCTCAGTGATGCTGCGTCATGCCCTTTAAAATGGGAAACTAACCCCAATATCGTACGGGTAAGTTAATGGCAGCAGGCGGATATGTCAAAATCTTGTTTTCCTAGTTCATCTTTTCTACATTTCTAGTTACTATATATCTAATAAGGGACATATCAGGCTACTAACTTCGAATCTCTAGTCCTTTCTTAAATAGACGACTAAGTAAACACTTGGAAACTGTCCCATCCCACCCCCCCTATTGTGCATAGGCAGCTCCGTTCTGAAATAAAGGCACTGAATATAGTGAAAAATGTTTCTGTTGGCAGCACCCAAACGATATGCAGTACTTTTTCAGAATAAAAAGCACAAATCAAAATGCATTAACTAAATACTACAGAATCCAGATGGTGCATAAAATAGAAGAGAGATTGAACATGTTGGTGGAGTGCTTTGGGTTCGATCATCTGGCCATACGTCCAACAACAGGAGCAACTGTAATTCCTCTGCCTTGTCGATCCATATTTGCTTGCCAACCTTGAATTCAAAATTGATAATCAATATAGAAGGGACAAATTCACACTAGGTGAGAAAAAAAAAATTGGAGTGAGTGCCACTAACTAGTTTTCTATCATTATGCTCACCTTTGGAATTTATAACTTGTTTCTGATCACTTCAATCTTATTGAGAAAGTAAGGATTCTACATTTACCTGCGGTTGTAAGCCTCTCCTCTCCAGATTCTAGAATAAGTCCTTCAAGTATAAGAGTAAAAAAGAACTACTACTATGGTTACACTCATGTAAAATTCTTCCAACTCTGATTGCTTCCTTCTACCCTTTGCTAATGTTTGAAATGGAAGGGGGGAAATGGGAAAAGAGTAACTAGATATTGCTTTGGCCTTTTTTAAGTCATAACTCTAAAAGTTGGGATTTTGTTGGCATTGTTAATGTTATAGCTTTTTTAGAGATGACTTTGTGATCAGTTAGGCATAGGGCAGGTGAAAATGACACAGCTAATGCTAATCTGACAGTATAAAAATTAAAGAAAAAGGCAACAAAACCGAGCCAACTTACCAATTCCCATATCAAAGCCACGGTTCTTGAGCTCTCTGTATTCCTGACAAAGTGAGCAAGTCTCACAGCAGAAATGAACCAAGCAATCTGCACAAGGAGCCTCTTCCAAGTCATATTGCCCTCTCAACCTTGACCTGTAAACACACGAGTACAAGCAGGATAAGCCTGGAAGAGCCAGCAGTCCATAAACTGCACCACTTGCTGCACAAGCTGCATACCAAAAATCAAGAGCCAAACCAGTTTTTCAATACTTCAGGATCATAAAACTTGTGGGAAAATATACTTAAAATATGTGTTTTAGAAGCTTACAGATGGACCCTTTGTTCACTATCTCAGCAATTTGTCCAAAGGTAACACATGGACATAAACAAGTAATCAAACAATTGGCAGGGTCATCACAACAATGGCAAAGGCCAGTAGACCACCCCGTAGCGCTTGCTGTTCCATGGAAAGGTGAGACGTGCAAAGGATGTGCATTCATGGCGGTTGCTGGATACCCTGCTGGTGCATGCTTTGCATTGCCATGAGATGAAGTATACATTCCTTTTTCCCTTGTTATTAAGTTTGAAGATTTTGTGATTAACTCGGAATTAGTGCTAAAGGAACCTTGTAGGTGAAGAAGAACTCATAGGTTTGCTCAAGAGCTTAAGCCCATTTCCTAGAAAGTACTGCTCCGCAGGTCAAGACAGATTGTCCCGATGCAAGTAAACCTCCCCAAGAAGAAGCTTTACACGGCTGCAAAAATCGAGGTTAATTACTAATTTGGAACCAGATTTCCTTTAAACTAAAAATAAGATATTATTGTGTTTTTGGGTTATTTACTTACAATAATTCAGACTTTTTTTTCCTCAAAAAACTAGCTACTACTGAATTTATACCAATGTAATGGCGTTGGCCTCCTAATCTAGTCCTCTAGAATTTTGTTGGGAAATTTCTTTTTTGGGAAAAGTAGTAAGACTCTCAGTATCTTCTAATATCCACTAATCCATGTAGAATAAAATCATTCTCAATTTCCAATAGCAAGCTTGCTAGGTTGCACTAGTAATCTCTTAATAATCCATAAAAATGATTTTTATATACCTTGGATGATTAACTTGATTGAATTATACATTAGTTCACCGCCTGGCAGGCAACAAACTACGTATAATCTTTAATTAAGTTGCCTGTAAAAGGGAGAAAAAGTGACTGCCCATAGATATATATTTATGTGCACCTACTAGTTGCTGGCTTCTAGCTTACTTTTGATATAAGCACAAACAAAATTTTATGTATTATGCAGCACCATGCCTTAATTTTTTTTTATTTATGGAAGGGGGTTGAACACTATTATTTAAGTTAAAAAATTATACATCAATTAATGAATTAAATATTTAAGTATTTATGTTTGTTGATTTTAGACCCTCTGCTTGCAACTTGGGATGGGTTTATTTTTCATTTATCCCTTTTTTTTAATGTAAATAAACCAATTATGATTAACAAACAAATTTAGTTTTGAAGCATTATAATTGCGCTTCATATTGGCCTGCTAAAGTCAAACGTTTTATGTCAGTAAGGGTATCAATCGAAACTCAAAAGAAACCGTGTCCAAGCTTGCAGAATAAAGTTGAATGGAATTGAACAAAGAAAAGATCATCTTAAAAGATATGTTAAAAGATGCCAATAGGAAGAAAGTGTCATCCCCAGCCCAAGCTGGTGGATTCTGTTCTCCACTAAGATCAACCTATTCAAGCATCACCTTTTGAGAGAAATTCAACTAGCACCTTAAAGGAAACCATGGTGAGCACATCGTGTATCGCCTTCCATTCGCACTGTTCTTCCATTATCCTATCAGAGAGAGAGAGAGAGAGATGGCGATCATATTTCGCTGTATTCAGGTCCATCCCAACAGGGAAATGACGGTGGACGAATTCAAGGCCTGGCTGCGCCATTTCGATGCTGATAATGACGGACGGATCAGCCAGGAAGAGCTGAAAGACGCTCTTCACAGCCTGAGAGTTTGGTTTGGATGGTGGAAGGCACGTGAAGCGATGAAAGAGGCAGATTCCAACCATGACGGCCAAATTGAAAATGGTAAGGAGATTGAGAAGCTCGTGAATTATGCTCAACAACGCTTGCATATGAAAATTTATCAAAGTGATTGGTAATCTTCAGAATAAATTTAATGAACGGACGAACGTTCGTAAAATTAATCTTATGCGTTTGCAGCCATGCATGCAGGTTTAAACTACTACTACTACTACTACAAATATGTGTGTATTTCATAATGAAGCCTGATTCTCCGCTTCCATTGTGGGTTTTCCTGCTTATTTCAATCCAGATTTGAAATAATTGTATCTTTTTTCTGCATATTAATGGGATAGAATTATATAATTTCCTTACATTCTAATTTCACGAGCTGATCTGCTGTTTCCTTCATCCGAAAAGCATACTGGTATACAGCCTTTGCCAGGCTTTGAGGGAAAGCCCAAGAGTTGTGAAGCTTGGTCTAACAATGACATGGGCCTTGACGCTGATGTTGGTACAGAAGATTTCAATATCCTCGAAGAAAATGGTAGCATATGACCTAGAAATAGAATCCATTGTTGGGTATTTAATTAAAGAACAAGTTGGAAAAGATTGGGATTAAACCATTCATTGAATTGGGAAGTATAAGGGAAGCAGAAACCAAAGTTGGTCGAATTTGGCAGTTCCCACGGATGGAGAATATAACACAAATAAAGGAGAGACCCACATGTACTCCTCCGTACTTTCTACCCCCAAGTTTTTACATGGAAGGCAACAACAATTGCACAGTTCCACCCAACCAGAGAACTTCGTTTTCCTTCTGATCCAACATTGGGAACCGAGCAAAAATATTTATGCAACAGGATTTTTGCACGTTAAACAATGTCTCCTATTGGGGAGAGATGAACAGAGAAGAAACCCCCTTCACTCAAAGGAAGAGAGATGGGGGTATTCTCAGGTTTTGTTAAAATACTCCCAAAATCTAGTAAAACCCCAAGCTGTTGCTAGCAAGATAGGAGACCAGAATAGAGACAGTAAAGATTAGATGAAGCCCAAAAAGCGACTGCTCTCAGTTGTTTCAGCCCCCCACCACCACCACAGCCAAACCCAAGACTCTGTGTGTGTTGGGATTCAATGAGGAGTTTTGACTGGTCCTCATTTGCAGGCACTGATTCATGAGAATCCACCACGTGTCTTAACCCCATTTGGCTGAATCTTGGAGAGGAGGGAAATAAAAAAAGAAGGGTTTTTGAGTCATGTGAGTGACAACCATGTCCTTTTATGAGTAAAAATTCAATTCAATATTTAAAAGCAGATCAGTCTTCTTTGTATTCTTCTTTCCCCCCACCCCTACATGTTACTCGCAGACCTACCCTAGCGTACCATGATCTTTGAAACTGTTCCTTCTTTATCTGTCTTTTCCTAAGGTTAAAAAATTAAACTAAAACCTGATCGGCACTCTCCAAAATCCAAATGAATGTGTGCCCTTTGCCAGATTCTAGACCTAACCCAATTGTTCATATTTTAATTAGATACTCACCATCTGTGTACTATTGTTTAATATCACAGTAAGGAAAATGCCTAGTATCACCAAAAAGGTTTTGAACAGCTCGATGAAGAGGACAGGGTTTTGTGAGAACATGTTAGCATCTCTGCCAATGTATTTGGATAGTTTAAAATCATTCCCCCAAGTAAATCTCACATGTTCACATAGCTGATAAAAAGTGTGCAAAAGAAATAAAATTATATAAAAAAAGGGGGAAAAGTTGACAGCAGAAGATAATCCTCAATGACTCATGATTTGTAGTTGTCATCTGATTTGTAGTGCAAGACAAAGACCATTATGTTAGGAGGAGAAAAGAGGTCTGCACGTGACCACGTTTTCTCTTCCAGTATACTAACATTGAGAACTAGTTGGAAGGAGATTTGCAGACTGCCTCTCCTACTTACCACTTGCTAATTAATAGGTGATTATTATCAGAAAAACTCAATGATTATCAAACAATCAACAAGGTATTAAAACCTTAAACTGGGTTTCTAGGAGATAAAGAAGTGATAAAATGATGTCCTATAAGCACGTAGAAAATTAGAAGAGAGGAGTTAAAAATTTTGGTTTAAAAGTTATTTAAAGAAAAAGCAAACCCCAGATCACGTGGTACTTTTGATAAGTCGGTATCGCCAGCTCATTCGCTGATATTTTACTTACAAGTCAAAGCAGGGTCAAGCAGAAGCAAATCCAAGACAATCCCCTACCTTGGCAGCTCCTTCCCTCTGGACTCTGCAAGACTGCAACTCCTCTTTTTATTATTATTTTTTTTCTTTCTTTGTCAAAAGGAAAAATGAATAAAACTTTGAGCTGAAAACATTAAAAGCAGTTACCTCTTCAAAAGCCCAAAATCCTATCCTTTAAATGACACTGCTGTTGCTTTCCATGCCAGCAATAGAAACTGTTTCCACCTCCCTAAATCTGGCTACAAGACACCCATTTCTTCACAAAAACACATCCATTATTTTTTTTATTGATTTATTTACTGTCTTCATAATTAAAGATGCCTCAGCTCTCTTCTGCATTTGACCCCACTGAACCACAGGTTTAAAAAATTAAAATGGTACAAAAAAAGAAAATAGGTTAAGCCTGTAAACTGTGCATTCATGCATATTGCTTATCACTGGCAGATGCTATTCTTGTGAAAATATGATTCAGTCTTTGCACCCAAATGTAATGAAAGGAGGCAGCTCTATTGGGTACTACCTATCACCCACTTTGCTTTTTGCAATTGGATTAAATGTTCAAAAAATCATGATGTGGTTGCAGTCTCACTATATTTGTAGTTGAAATAAAAACAAGTGTACGAGTAAGATAAATGGTAGTGGAAATTATTGTGATGTGCACAAATATATGATAGAATTCTGTAAAGGAAAAGGGAAAAGATTTCACTGGTGTGGAAAGACAAAAGACTGTTTCTTGGAATCCTCATAGAAAGTTTTCCGAGTGTATTTCAGAGACATGAAGCGTAAGGAGATTGGTTCTAGAAAAGAGGGGTACTTGTTTATGCATTTATTTTATCGATTATATTATGGTAGAACGTTGGACGAAAAGAAAGCTTCTTAGTAACTTCACCTACGTCCAGTGCAAGAGAACACAGTAAAAAAAATAGAACCATACTTGGAGGATTCTCTGTCTTCAAAATTGGTCATCATTGAATGACAATTAACATGTCATGACAAAAAACATCACATCATGGGCATGACATGCATGAATTAAAAAAAAAAACATACATCAAGTTCCCCTACTTCCTTAGATATAAATACAAACATCTACTTGGTAAGTTGTAATAGTGTAAGGGGGTCCCTATAGAATTTATTAGGGTTTCCATGTTGTTTTGAAAAGCTCATGGCATGCTTAGACATGTATAACTCCGAGCACAAAGGTCATCACCACTGCGCTCCCATGAGTCCAAGAATCTCGTTCTCAAACGATTTTGTTGAGACTCAACAGATACTGAAGCAAGAAAGGAGCGCAAGAGAGGCTCCAGTGTCTTCAGACTTTGAATTTTCAGTGACAAACTATTCCATGATGAGTGCTGATGAGCTTTTCTTTAAGGGTAAGCTTTTGCCATTCAAAGATAATTGTAGCAATCAAATGCAAAGGACTTTGAGAGAAGAGCTTCTTGTTGAGGATGATGATGATAATATGACGCTGAGGCCTCCAAAGGGTTCCACAAGGTGGAAGGGATTTCTGGGGCTCAAGAGAACCCACATTGGTTCCAAAAAAGCTGGCAAGAGTGAAGGGTCTGTGGAGAGAATGGGTGACAGTAAAAGGTCTGGTTTTGTTCATGAGGAGAACCATCTTAGCAAGACTTCAGAGGTGAGAAGATAAACTTAGAGGGAAGTAAAACATTCATTTTCCTTATGAAGCTAACTATTTTAGGCTGTTTAATCTGATTCATCAATGCTTTTTGTTGTAGGACCTTTTGAGTGAAGGCGGATCAAGTTGCAGGGACGTGGAGATTGGAATATAGTAACATTTCTTGGAGGGGATAACTTGTAGAGATGTGGAGTATATTTTGCAAAGGGAGATTGGGGGTGGCTTTCTTCTTATTTTGCAGGAGGTTTGGGTAAAGTCGAAGGTCTTAAAACTTGTGCTAATGGGGTTTGTTTTTAATCTTAATTTCTCTTATTTTTCTTGCCTTGGGGTTTAGTGTTCTTATATTTCTTTTTATCTCTTAGGAGTTGGTGTTAATTTGGCTGTTCTTTTGTACAAAATGTTTGCAGTTCAAGAACTTTCTACTGTTGAGCAATTGATAGATCTGTCTTAGGTCATGGTTTTTTTGACTCGGATCTACTCATGTAATTTCACTTTGACTTAAATCTGTTCATGTCCTTTGTACTATCTTTTGGGAGGTATACTAACCTTTTTTTTTTTTCATTTTATGCATCTTGTTTGTGTTCGGAATATTGAGATCCTTAAACCATTAGTGAATTCATAATACATTGATTCAAATTTTATACAATATACAGCATGAAGGAGTACTGGGCAGAGATCCTTTGGATGTGGCCAAAAGGCCAACTTTGAATCTAAGTGCTATTGACCATGGTCCCTTACTGTAGTTTTCCACTCCTTCCCAAACGTGTCTGATGTTTATGAATTAATGCAAGAGAAAAATAAAAGCAAGAACTGCGGCAGTATTTTTATCAAAAAAACATGTTAGTATTACATTAGGGAAGAAATGGCAGGAGGAGGTTTGAGTGTGGATGGGGTGACTGGCAAGTGATCAGCCATGAATGTGACAACTACTGCACGAATGTTCGTCTGCATTTTCCTTTCTGATTTTCATTTTAACAAAAAAGAAAATGACTGTTCATCTATGCTGGTTCAATTGTTGACTATTGGATTATTGTATACAGGTATAGCTATAAGGCCATACCAATCTTAGTTTTCGGGTTCCTTGTTCAAGAATAATTTAGGGTTGACTTCCTCCAAGCTGGGGTTTAACCCGTTGTTCATATTGGTTGATTACTTCAGTTAATTTCTAAGCTTCATTAAACCAGCAAGGGAAATGCATGAAAACAAAACTGCAAGCAGGGCATGGTCATCACTTGCCTCACAATGTTGCGTTTGGAAATGCAAAACAAAACCTTTGAAGAAACCACAGATGTGATCAAAGTCGCTTCCTTCATGTAATCATCAGTTATCCCATTGCCATGAAGCATACACTTCTTGATCCTATTTGCACGATCTTAGGGTTTCCCTTACCTGATCAGAACTCTGCCATTAACATGTGAAATAAAGGAAGATAAAAGCAATTAAGCCTTAGGCAAGAGAGAGAGAAATAGCAGTACTATCATTCCTCCAATGTCACAGAATCAACCAAGTCATTTGGAGAAAAAAAAAATAAAGAAAGCTAAGTGACTACAATCTCACTACAAGTTTACAGATTTCCTACCTAGTAATCTCCTGTCAACATCTTCTATAAAACTAGGGTTGCCATCTAGGTATTGAGTCAAAGAGAGATTTTGCATACATAAGCACAAGAAGATAACTGTGGACGTGAACCTTTGGTACATCTTAAAGACAATCTCACCATGAAGCTTGAACTTCTTCCTCGAATCTAAGCTCATATGTTTCTGCGTGAGACTGCAAACTCTCAATTTCAACTCCAAACGTTTTACAGGTATCCTTCAACTCAGCAAGTTTTGCCTCAAGATTTCTTATCTCATCCTCTGTCTGAGCTCGTTCCATTTTAGCTTCAACGTACCTCCGTGCTTCAGCAGCACCTTCTGATTCAAACACAAGGTTTACAAGCCGGCGCAGTCGAGTTCGTAAGAATCCAACATTCATGCCCAACAGCTCAAAGGCTTTCAAGGTCTTGTCCCAACTATCAAATTCATCCTGAGATGTTGTGAGCTTGCAAGCTCTTATGGCATCAGCAATATTGACAGTCTCGGAAATGGTTCCAACTATCAATTTAAAATTTATACCATGGATAATATTTTTATGAAGGAAAGAATTTTGACTACGGCATAGGTTGTAGTATTTATGGCGAATGTCTTCTGAGAGCTCCGAATCTACAACCAAATCATCAACCAAAATGCTGAATTTCTCAAAACTTGTTATATCTTTGAATTGAATGGTAGGCACAGATAGCTTGAAACCTTCTAAAACTTCTGAACCTACTTCTTCACTGTCATTTTCAGATTGCTCTGCTGGCTGCCCAAGATTGGTCTGTAGGCCAGACCTCTTATTCTTCTTTTGAACAACAGCTAATGGAAGAGATTTTGGACGTTTCCTCTTTGTACTTTTACAGGCCGTTGTACCAATTTCTGCATCCTCTTTTTTTTTTTTTCAAAAATTCAGTTATAATGCAAACCTTCTGACATGCAAGCATAATATTCAAGATACCAAACCAGTAACTTACCTGCATCACTTTGTTTTGTATGAGCATCCAAATTTAGGAGGCCAAGAGCCCCATCCAGTTCAGTCAAATCATTTGCTCTTATTATGTATACCTACAAAAATGAGGTTGATATATGTTAGAGATCATACTAATGTAAATAACTGAATTTTCACAATAACATAAACATTTAGTAAAATCTCAGCCAATGGTACCCCCCCCCAAGTTAATGCAAAACGGTTAATGTAAAAGATGTTAGTGATCATGCATTTTAACATCTTAAGTTAATGCAAGAAGCTGGGGGCTCTTATTCCACGTTTAATGGTTTAGCAGCTCTTAAATAACTAGTTAGATGTAAAATCCATATGATCAGAACCAGTCTTCTCTAGCAAGTTTAGGTACAAAATTAACAACAATTATGAAGCAGCTCCTTTGGTTTCTGGTTGGAGCCTCAGAATTTATGCAATGCCAGGCTTAGAGAAGCAATAAAAGAGATCATATGGAGAGAGAGAGAGGCTTCAGTCTCTCCCAAACCATCAACCGCACAAAACTCATCACAGTCAAGGTGATTCTTTGCCTTTGGTGTAACAGTAACAGCCAACTTCTTCGAATCCAAAATGGTTTGCATTTTGCTCAACACTGTGTTCACTAGCATTGTTTCTAAATGCTAAAAATTTGTAAATCACCTATTTTTTTCTAAGAAAAGTGTAAAAGCTATAAGACACACTAGGCTGTATTTAGTCTAAAGAGGTTTACACGGCCACTAAAAAAAGAAATTGACAATATTTAATAATATAACAGTGACATTGAGGTGAACAATCCTCAGGTAGTCTTGACGTGGTGAATTCTAAAACGAACATCTAGTTATACCAGGAAAACAACATAACAGTGAAACTCTTCTTTCTTCAGCTTTAACAACATAAAGACAGTTGCGCTTTAGCTTCAGAGGCATAATACATGCATGATCATGGGAAACTTTATTTTTCCTCAGGAGATGGGGATATTGTCACGTCTATTAACACCTCTTAACACATGATAGCATTCAGTATAAGACTTTTAAAACACATAAGGATGGTCAATTTGATCAAACTGCATAAGTAGCCAGTGCTCTCTGACCTAGATCAATAAAACTTCTCTGTCTAATTATGTGGATAAGACATGCTGAGTTTGGAGTTTCCATTTCCTTTTCTCTAGAGAAAGAAAGCCCAAATTCTAGATAAATAACAGTTCCTCATCAATCTTATAGAAAGGGACATGTTTAATGTTTGACATCCTTGCCAATCCAACACTGCAATCAATCCACTGCTGATAGAACAATCACCTAAAGTTCCAGTACCAGCAATATACTTCTTACCAGTTCATTGTTTTTTGTAAGATGTACTGAAGGGAAAATAACTAGGCCTGCATACAAGATTGATAAGAATACAAGCATCAAACCACCATTCTCCAAATTGCTTCTGATTTTCCAAGATTGACTAACATAAGTATGAGATCAAGCAAAAACTCTTATGAATGTAAATTAGTTTTACATTTACACAGCAAATCAGTTTCTCCTAAATTTCCTATATGTTCCAACAAAATTACACAATACAAGGATGATAAGGACCATATCTGACTCTTGAAGATTCTATGCTGAACCTTTTACACATCCACAGAACGGATACAGGGCAAGGAGTACACTCCTGAAAAAAATTGCATCCCCACTCATGGTTTTTTCATCCCTATTTATCTTGCATGCATTTTTCATTTGACCTTACAAAAAATACATATATTTTTTACAAGCAATTTTTTTATCAATATTACTATAATAGTACATACTATTATAAAACATCAGGTGGGGGATCAGTCCCCCATCCACAAATTAAATCCCCGAAAAAAAAAATAGCACAGCATGCCCATCAAGGATGGCAGCATGTGGAAATTTGACATCCCTAGAATTTTCTTCTCATTTTTAAACCTCAATCACTAGGTAGAAATGTCAAACTAAATATAATCACAGATTGCATTTAAGCAAACCTTAGAACCATAAACAATCTAACTCAAGAAAACTGGGCAACCAAGAAGAATGGCTATAGGAAATGTAATTTAAACCATCACCTTGAATTTGGTTGGTTCAACTAACTGGAAGATCAAAACATCTCCCTCGAGCAAATTATGCACACTACAAAACTGTCTCCAACCGGCACTCAATCCTGTTTTATCAGAATAGTACTTTACATGAAATTGGTGCCCACTCTCATCTTCCAAAACGACCATAGTATCTCTCCTTGGTAAATGTATCTTACAGAACATCCCAGGAAGCCCCTATCAGGGAAAAGAAAAAAACAAAATGGTCACAAAAAGAAAAGAACACCTCAAAATTCTCGAGTAATATGATAATCCAAAGTGAAATTGATGCCTTTAACAAAGCTAACCATCCAAAAACAGCTTCCAACATGTGATCTGACCAAAGATTTGGCAAAACTAGGAAATTCATGTTCTAGATTTGATTGAACCTCCTCTGCACGAATCATCGCCGGAGACTTAATTTCAGGGGTGCATTTCCCATCACCTGCACCCTTATTTTTCTTAGAGCTTCAAAAACACAAAGCCAGGCATCATCAAACAATGAAAATCCACAAGCAATAAAGCTGCATAGAGCCCATTTCTTTTAGATGCTTCACTAACCTCATATGCTTCCCTCCAGGACCCGACACTTCCTGTCCAAAAATATATGTGTTAGTGCTAATTCCATACTTCATTTGAGCTAAAAGACAAAAGAGTTCTCGCTGGAAGTTTGAATTTAGAAATCCTTCGGTTCCTTTCCCAGTCCATACGCCAAGCAATTTGACCGTGGACAATAAGTTTACCTCTATTCTTGAGTTTGTGCTTTTCAGTTGTCAATTTTTAATTTTATTAGTATTATTCTACAAAAAATTTTCGTTTGACATTTTCAAACAAACTTTGAAACATAAATAGGAAAAACTCCAACGAAAACAACCATTCACAATTTGTTCTCCTAGCATTGAATTTGAAATTTCAAACTACAGTTGGACCATTGGAGAATTATTATTATTTCTAAGAACCGTAACGAAAACATTTAAACAGTAGAAAGAAAAGGTAGGGAAAGAAGAAGAAGAAAAGAAGTTTTACATGTTTAATTATGGACTCCGATTGGCTCTTTCGCTTCTCTTTTCTCTCAGTTAACGCCTTATCCTTCTTCTTCTTCTTCTTTCCCTGCAAATAAATAAACAAATAAAACTAATGCAAGGAAAATTATCAAGAATCGAGCAAAAACAGTATGCAGCCTTCTAAGGATTTGTTTCAAACACCTACAAGTACGAGATCTAACGCATTTCCTGTATTTTCTATCGTTTTCTTTTAAATTCTAGCCAACCAAACAGAAAGCAAGAGAGAGAAAGGAGAAGAAAAAAGAGACCGAAGAAGAAGGCTTGAGCTTAGGAGTGTGAGATAACTGAGCGAGAGTCAAGTCCTCTTCGCCAGTAGATTTAAGTCTCCGACCAGCAAACGACGTCGTTCTCTGCTGTATCTCTTCAGCTTCCTTCTTCACCCTTTGATCCATAACCGCCAATTCGCTTAAAAAGCAGGGGTCTCCGACGAAGAAGAAGAAGAAGCAGCACCTACTCCTATTTCCCCCTCTCTCGAATGTTAAGGCCCTCTTCTCTTTTCTTTTCTTCTTTTCTTTTTTCCTTTTACGCTTTTTTTTCTTTTTTTTTCTTTTACGGCTGGCTAGAGGATAAGCTGAATTTATTTTGACGGAGTGGACTGAATTAACCGTTTATAACTGTTTTTAAAAAAGAAAAATGTTTTATGTTTTTTGTTGGGCGACTAAGTCTTTGGTTTTTCCTCGCATTTACGCGCCCAATGGAAAAAGTTTTGGCTTTCGAAATCGACAGGACCCATCATGGTTCACGCGGACTAAGTGAGTCTGACGTGGTCTCCACGTGTTACTGAATAGACCTGGGCCTGAACCATGGATCTTGGGCTGGGCTTACGCTATTGTTTTGAGCGGAGGAACTCAAACATTTTGCATAAGAATTTCACATATAATTTCGAATAAGATCAATTACAAAGAAAGGGTTTGCAAAAATTTGAAGCTATATAAATGGCAGCAATACCATCTTTCATAAAAAATAAATAAAGGAAATATATATTTGTATATTGCTAAGTATTCCTTGAATAAAATTTCAAAAGATTTGGAGCTGACCGTTGCCTAAATTAAAAACAATGGTGAATGTCCCATGTGCCCTAATTTGTTGTCAAATTTCACCATTCATTCCACCCTGACCCAATCCAAGTTGACTAAAATTCTCTCCGGAGATATGTTTTGGGCCAAAACAAAGCACACCGTTAAATGTTTAGTCGGGTTTGTGAAGGGACCACACCAATGAAAACGTGACACCTTTGTCATCTTCCCCCATCGATTATTTTGTTGCAAAGATGATAGAATCTTTTTTTTGTCCTGCACGCGAATAAGCTGAAAATGAGAGAAAAATATCTTTATACTGATGGCCACCCGCGTTTGAAATACCCTCTATCCTAATGTAATCCGGTGTTTTTTTTTTTTTCTTCAGTTTTTCTCACATTTTTACAATTTTGTGAACTCTCTTAAATACTTATTCTATATTTATAAATCTCTACTGACCTGAAATTTTTATCTATTATATATATTTATCTATTAAATGAACTTAATCATTCAGTAATTCTAAACCAACAAAATTTCACCAAAATTTAAACTGATTCTCAATTAGAATTTGAATAAAACATCAAACAAATACATGATTAATCCTATATACAAAATTAACAATTAGAATTTGACTAAAACATCAAACAAATAAATGTCACAATCTGATGATGTAAACAATTTAATACTAAAAACTTTAAAAAAAAAGTTTATCATTTCAATGAGTCATACTTGTTATAAATAACATTAATAGTACTATCTCTTTTTAATCACCAGTCATGACACCAAATCCAAACTAACTTCTTATTTTAAAATTTATTGACTTATATAAATTGTTAAAAACATTCGCGTGAACATGAATTTTATATTATCAAGATAATATTTTTAATAGACAAAGCTATAAAGTCTCACGTTAAAAATAAACTTCAAATAAAAAGTAAAAGAAGATATCATAGTCGTGAAAAAAAGAGTCATGAATTTCACATCACTTATATACTAAAATGATATTTAGCATATAAAACTTTATACTACTTTTAACTTGTAAAATCTCTTTTATAAGATCAAATCGTGAAACTAACAAACCAAAATAAATAATATCTCACAAATTGATGTGGATTAAAACAATTAACATCACATGTATAGTTATTATTATAATTACAAAAGTATGTACATGGTATTTAATTAAAAACAAATGGAGTGTCTTATTTTACTTGCCGTCAATTTCATGAATATGGCATTTGTCAATAAATTTAGAGAAAAAATATTTGTCAAAATGGATTAACTGTTATACTACTATTGTTCAATTTATTATATTCTATGCTATAATATATTTATGTAAAATGAACAAAAATATTGATGAGATGAATGTATGTACTTTGTTTGACCAATGGGATTTAGCAGCCGTTTGGCGTCAGCTTGAGCCCCACGTCCATAGCAGAACGTAATAAACTACGCGCCGAATATATAGGCTTAGCTATTACCCTACTTTGTAGTATACGGTAACTCTATGCAGCTTTGAACGTAAACCCCTGATTGGATGATGATCTAACCATCGCACGACCTGGCATAGCTCCGTTGCTTTCTTTCTCAACGTCATCTATGTTCTACTTAAATGTAACCCCCTCAAGTCTCAAGTGAAAAGAGCAACCATTGATTCTCTCTCTTAAGACTTTTTGTTTGAACTTAAGACTTTTTATTTGAACTTTGAACATTTCTTTATGTTCCCAGCATCTGATGATGGATTTCTTCTTTTTTTTTATTCCTTTTCGGTTGGATTTCGAGTCTTCGTGTTCTATTTAATTTCCTGTTAGTAGTCAGCTTCTTGCAGGGCACGCATATTACATCTCTCGTGCCTGCTTTTTAATCTCTCTTGTTTGCTTGGCCTTGTGTCATTTATTATTGAATATTAGTATCAGATCACAGAAAAGATTTCATTTCATGGCTGTGTCTAAGTTTTCATGGTATTCTGGGATGGATGTGGGAAACTGTACGCAAGCAGGTTGGCTAAAGATCGTTTATGTAGTGTTTGCCTTCTGTTCTGCTCTCTGTCTTGGTGCTCTAAAAGGTTCGTTCTTTTTGATGTTTCATTTGCTTAATTCAATCTGGTGGTGGTTGTTCTTGATGGTTTTATGATGATTTTTCATTGAATGTTTCCAGGTTTACTTGTTGGACCTATTGCTGGTTTGGTACTGATAATTGGAAATGTTGGGGTCATCCTGGGATTGTTACCTGCACATATTGCCTGGACCGTGTACACAATTATAAGGTAAACCATCCAAGAAACTTTCTTTCCTTCAAATAGCATTGAAAGACTGTTTCTTTATGTAGTGATTCTGATTAGGAGAGATTATGGGTTATCTGGATTTGATTTTCTTGACTTGTTTGACAAATGGTTGGTAATTGCAGGACTAATAGGTTCGATGCGCCCCTTAAAGTTGCCATATTGATTGCTTTGCCTGCGTTATTTGGTATATGGCTGGCTTTAAGCATAGCCGGTAGTGTTATTCTAGGAATTGGCTATGGCTTCTTCACTCCCTGGGTTTCAGCTTTCGAAGCCTTCAGACATGAGGATAAGTCCAAGAGATTCTTTCACTGTGTGGTGGTAATTTCTATAGTACTTTTCTTATTAGGTGGTTGTTTGAATTTATTTTCTGTTTCTTTCTTGTTAATTTTCTGTTATCTTATTACCTATTAGGATGGAACATGGGAAACTGTGGAAGGAAGTTGCACTGTGGTTAGAGATTTTGCAGATTTATGTTTTCATTCATACCCGCTCTACTTGAAGGAGCTTCGTGAATCCCCTGTTTCAAATGAGCTCCAAACTCTGCGGTAATGTTGGTTTTACTGGCAGCTGCCAACCAATATAGTTTTACTGGCAAATTTGAGTTAAGAAAATGAATCTACTTCTCTGATAATCAGATTGTTAGGACTTACCAGCTTTGTCTTGCAGGTTGATTCATGTGCCAGGACTTATAGTTGTTGGATTGTTGGGACTAGTTGTGGATATTCCCTTTTATACCATAATTGCTGTGGTAAAGAGTCCATACATGTTATTCAAGGGATGGTTTCGATTGACGCACGATCTAATTAGCAGAGAGGGGCCATTTCTCGAAACAGTTTGCATCCCCATTGCTGGTTTGACAATCCTTTTCTGGCCAATTGTTGTCATTGGGAGCATATTAGTTGCTATTTTTTCAAGTTTCTTCATTGGATTGTATGGATCAGTCATCGTGTATCAGGTTGGTTTCAGCCTTCAACTGTGTCCCTATTTTCATATTTTTGCCTATTTTCAATCGATGCCAAGGAATTCTGTGGACGCAGGAAAGATCATTCCGGAGAGGGGTTGCTTATGTGATTGCAATGATTGCTGAATTTGATGAGTACACAAATGATTGGCTCTATCTCAGAGAGGGGACAATCTTCCCAAAGTAATTAGCCTTCCAAATCTTTCGAACTTCTGGTTCTGACAGAACATAGCGTTTTTTACATTTTAATAGTCACAATTTTGCATTTTTTTCACAGCCAGGCCCTGTTATCGCAAGAAAAGTGGTTGTGAACTTGAGTATTCTGTTAGAGGACTGGGTGGCAAATTCAGTTCTGCTTCTGGTGAAGCTCCTGCAATGCTCATGCCAAGCTTGGCTCATTCGGTATCAGTTAGAGAGGCAATACAAGAGGTGAAAATGGTTCAGGTAGGTTTCAGTAAAGCAACAGTTTCTGGTCACCACTAAATCAGGACTATCAGTATTCATACTGATTTGTCTTTCCCCTGCAATGGTTTCTTTCATTCTTTCACATATAAAGTTTACAGGATGAAAATTGTGTTGTACAGCTGAAAAGTGCTTAGTGGTTAGCTTGGTTTGTGATGCCCCTTAAGGTAGACATTTAGAAACCTTCCTACCATGAAACAAACTATCTTAGAAAGAGTTGCAAGTGAACACTAACAAAGACATCTTACTGATCTTTTACTAATTACTGGTCATCAGTCCATATCGTTTTCCTCTCATTGGATAAATGGTGAATCATATAATTGGGACGAAATGTAACAGATTTGGACGAATATGATGAAATCCTGTGAGATTAAAGGCAAGGAGCTACTGGATGCAGATGTAATAACTCCGGTGGACCTTTGTGAATGGTTGAAGGCAAAGAATGGAAATGAAGCAGTGATCATAGGTGTTGGCCTGCCATGTTACTGCTTCTTGCATACTCTCCTCAACTCCATCCGATCCGATTGTAATGGTTTGCTAATGCTTGATGATGTTGAAATAAACCATCTGAATAGGCCAAAGGACAAACTGTTAGACTGGTTCTTTAACCCAATAATGGTCCTGAAGGAACAGATCAGGGTCATAAAGCTGGGAGACAATGAAGTTCGGCTGCTGGAGAAGTTGGTTCTTTTCGGGAGCAATACAGAACGGATGGATGGTTGGGATAACGGTAGTTCAGTGCCTCAAGATTCTCTCAGAGCTGCCCAAATTGAGGGCATAAGTAGGAGGTTTGAACTTCATCTAAACCCTGCTAATATTATATGGTACTTGGTGCTTTCCCAAATAGCTTCTGTTTGATCAATCTTTGCTTTTGATGTCCAAACAAAACCGGCAGGATGGTTGGAATGGTGAGAAGTGTATCGAAGTTGCCAACTTACAGGAGGAGATTTCGTCAAGTTGTGAAGGACATGGTTGCACACGCTTCAGAGAAGCAGGACATAGCTAGATGCAACTCTATGGTATCAACTTCCTTCCCTGAAGAAGTATAGCATGAAATTATAGAGAGCTAGTTGCACATGCTTCAGAGAAGCGGGACATAGCTAGATGCAACTCTATGGTATCAACTTCCTGCCCTGAAGAAGTATAGCATGAAATTATAGAAAGCTGCATATGTAATTTATACCGAGTAATAGGCAATAAAAACCTGCTATTTTAAGATCCCTTTTTTCATTAAATTTAAACCAAAAAAAAGAAAGAAGGGGTTTTAGAGTGTGAGTAAGGATCAGATTAGGCCCAGCAGATTTTAATGGAATTGGTCTTTTAAGCAAGAGATTGAGCCCATAGATTTTCCTTTGAACTTGGGGGAGAGCTTGCGATATGGGCTGTCCTAATGACTAACCCAAAGAGAGGGGGCATAATGTCTTCAACCCCCAAGAAGCAATTTTTCTGCTTTCCATTTTCCCCTTCCTTGAATTTCAAAATTTGGAAAACATGAAATTGAGCAAACAGGGAGTCTGAAAAAGTCAACAATTTATGGCGAGATGGGATCCAACAAGGCAGCAAATGGATTGTGTCCCCGGAGGGGGGCCGCACCAGATCAAGAAGAATGGTAGCGTAATACGTTAGTCACCCTCAATTAATTCACCCATTCGGAAAGGGGAAATCAAATAAACTGCACGAAATTCCACGACCGCCGCTATTTCCCACGTTTGCTGGAACTTCACTCTTCCTCCCATTAATTTTAAACCCTCCCTACGGGACTTATATTTATCGTATTATTATATAGATTTTATATACATTATTATTTAATAAATAAATTTATTAAAAACACTTATTTTAAATAACTCTTGTAATCTTTCGGATGTGCTTTTTCTTTCCAGCGTCAGGCAATGTGTGCGCTTTCATGGCTGCTTGTGGGTTAATACTGTTAGTGTACTTGGCCATTTTGGCGAGAAGACAGTTCACAGTAGAATTCAAAATAACACTCTTACACTGAACTCTCTCCATGCTGATGTGCTTGCCTTAGGAGGAAACATTATCTCGTCGTGTTTACTTTTCTAGAAATTAAATTATACCTATACATATTACGGATGCATATTTCTAGGGAATTTTTTTTTTGTTGTTTTGTTTGCTCAAGTTTAACATTTAAATATTTTTAAAAATATACATTAAATTGATAAATGCATTGCTTAATTAAACCATTACGTTCCGTTCCTAGTTCTCTATCATAGTCTTGTCATAGCAAATTGGCATTTCGTTAACTGCTAGCGATTGGTAGTGATGAATTTGTTGACATGACAGCATAATGTGATTTGGTGTAATTTGTTTATTAGTAGCTCTAAATAACATGACATAAAAAGACGGAATATAAGTTTGGTAGCTGATTCCATGTCTCGGAAAGTGGTGGCAGAGGTCTACATTCTCCCTATCACTTATCATTTTAACTTGCTTGTCATATTGTGTCAATCAGCCTTTCGGTTAATTTTATATTAAAGTTTTTTATAGACCAACTGTTCATTTACTTATCGCACATTGTAATGATGAAAGGACAGTGCCAAGTTTATTAACAACATGCATAAACTTTATAAATATTTTTTAAATTAAGTTCAAACCTCAATCAAGATTTTAATTATTATATTCAATTATTATAGAATTATAATCTCATTCTTGCACGCGTGAAACACTTTGAATAATATATTTTTTTTAACAAGTCTCATCACAGTTGTTAGATATATCATTAAGGATACATATATAAATCAAGTAATCTTGTTTTTCTTTATTCATGAAAAGTATATCTAGTTTACATGATCCAAGCATTAATCAACATTGCGATCTGTCTCACTGAACATAAAGATTATTAATGTACTTAATTGTCCCATTATTTGTAATTAACGGCATTACATATTTTCGCTTAATAGAATATTATCATATATATATATATATAAGGTACAAAACTAAGGGACCTTGATATGATGAACTGTACAGGAAGGCCGATTTCCATGTTTATAGTTAAATTGAAATCTTTATCCAATTACTACACTGGTAATTGTGATTTTTTAACTTATATGTTATGGTCGAAGGAAAACGGATTGCAATCTCCTATACAATTCCTTCTGACTAAATAAAGAAATAAAGCATTGTAATCCGAAGTAAAAAGAAAGACGTTCTAACAAATATTCTGCTTCCATAGAAATAAACCAGGAAAAATAAAGCACGACATGGAAATAAAAAGAAAAAAAAAAGGTCGAGAATGAAATCGACTGGCACGTTATTGGGATAAGATCAGCATTCCAATACTAATCCCGTGTCCGTAACTTGCCCGGCATGGCGCGTGTAATTGCCGTTCACGTCATCTGATCACTCTCTCTTTCTCTCTCCTTTTTTTTTTTGGTTGAATTAAGGTGATATTTTTACATTTGATGATATTGCAACAATATCACAAAGAAAGAGAAAATCGCAGATTATATAATTGAAAAAAAGGAACAGAAAAGGACATAAATAAATAAATGTATTATTAAATTTTATTGAATTAAATAAATGCAGCCAAAAAAATTACTACAAGCTACTGAGAATTACTGCAACTGACACGGTACCAGAAAGAGAGAAGAGAAAGAGCAGCAGCAGACAGACTTCAGCAGAAGAAACAGACACGAATTTTAGGGGCTAAAAATTTCCTAAAACCAGCAAAGTAGACTCCGAACAGAATTTCGTTATTCAAATAACCGTTTTCAATTCTCTTTGTTCCTCCCTAAGCTGATTTTCCCCCATTTTTCTTTTCCGAAAAAGCCTTCCCTCTCTCATTCTCTCTCCACATATAAATATCATCAGACCAACCTCCCTTCTTCTTTCTTCTTCTAATTCTGTACATAAAAGAAAACCCTAGAAAAGTGCGAAAAAAATAAATAAAATTACTAGTACCTAAGAGAAATCGCCATGTTGATCTTTTTCTTCTTCTTCTTCTTCTTCTAAATAAATTATTCGTTGCTTTTTTCCTCTATTTTTTCGTTTTGGCTTTTTCCTAATGGCTTTAGTCGAACCCACTCGTAACGTCCTTCCAACGGTTCTTCCTTGACAAAATCGAAGTTATACCTAAACAGGTAAACAAAAACAAGAAAAGATTTTTTTTAGTTTCAAATTTCCGGTTGGTTGCTAAGGAACTGTAACGACAGGAAAGAAAATCTAGGTTTTCTAATAGAATGTGCATGAACATACTTTTCAGTAAAATGTTTTTGAAGATCTTTCTCAGCAGAAGCAAAGAATTCTTCGATTTCAGCTTGGATTGGATTGATATTCTCCACCGTTGATCTACGGTGAGAGTTCACCTCTGATGGCTTCGACATTGAATCCTGGTCTTCTGGCTCAGCTCGGAGCTCACTCGATGGCGTCGTTTCTCTCCTGCTAGAATTCATCGAACTGATAGAGAATTTCAGAGAAACGATTATATAAAGAAAGAGATTTTATAACGAAAAAGAAAATTTAAATGATCGAATTCAAGAGATGTGAGCTAGTAAGTTACAGTAACTTAAATATTAAAAAATATTAATTTATACGTATAATTATTTTAAGAAAATTTAAATGATCTACTCCTTTTGAAATTCAAATTCAAGAGATGTGACCAAATAAATTACAGTAATTTATATATTCAAATAAAAATAAATAAATCATACGTATAATTGTTATAAAAAAAATTTAAATGATTGACTTCTTTTGAAATTCGAATTCAAAAGATGTGATCAAGTGAATTACAATAACTTAAATATTAAAATAAAAAAAATTTATACGAATAATTATTATAAAAAGGCTACTTTTGAAACAAATTACAGTAACTTAAATATTAAAATAAAAAATAAATAAATTTATACATTTAATTATTATGGGAAAATATTATACAGACCTCTCTCTGCTACTAAAATACGGAGACGTTTCAACTTCGATACTCTCATCCTGCAAAAATTTTGAAAATTCTTCGAATTTAATAGCAGCAATTAAAGCTGGACAAACCGAAATTCTTAGAATCCATAAAGACAAAGCTATTTTTTTTTTTGACGAATAAGTTCGAAATTCACCTCCAGATCTGGCAATTCGATAATCCTTTTCTCGCTCGATCCGATATTGCTTGAACAACATGACACGTCATCATCATGATCCGAGTTATGGCTCGAACGCCGATTTTCCTTCCGACGATGATCCACCAAAATTCTCCGGCTTCTCAACTGGATATACGATGTCGTTGAGGAAGTTACCTTAACTTGAGCTTCTTCGTCGTCGTGAAACCTTCCGCGCTTCTTCTTAACTATTTCAGTTGCCGCCATGGCTCTCGTTCGAACTCCGACGTTAGCTATCTCCATAACTGCAATTTCTCCAATTGCTCTACACTTTCTCCCCGTAATTTAGAATAAGTAAAAATTCTTGATCTTTTTTTGTTTCTATTTGAGAGCGAGAAAATTCGTTTTGATTGGTTTTGAGCGTTCGTTTTCTGGTTTTTGTTAGTTTAAGATGATGACGATGATGATGAGAGTGGAGGGTACGTTAAACGGTGAGGATTCATTTTGCGGTTTTAAAGGGGTGGGTGTGGGTGATGGTGGTCCATTAACAGCGACGGGGAATCTGTAACGGGGAAGTTTGACGGCGCCGTAACGCGGGTCAGGTAGCTGCTAGGGAAATGCGCCGAAGTTTTGACTAATTAGGCAATGCCACGTAGGTTAATGCCCCAATGGTGGTACGGACTTTGAATGACAGGACGGTAATGTATCGGGACAGTCCGTTTGGGAAGTAGAGAAGAAGGTTTTAGTGTCACAGGCTTCAGGCACTGGTCTGTAACATTAGCCTTAGGCGTAATTATTGTTTAGCTGATGAAAGTACAATTGTAACCTTATAATTATTACTGATAGCAATTGGGTATGCCGTCAATTAGCCATTGTTGATTTATTCCTTTCCATAAATGGTTTTCAAACTAAAATTTGAGTGATGAGTTATTATTCTATGCTATTGAGAATGTAATTTCTTTTGCATTTTTATTAAAAGAGGTACAGGCAAAAGAGACACGTGTTACTAATGTGTTAGTTCTTTTATACAATCAAACTATTTTCAAATTTGATCTGAATTTAATTTTCTTTACTAGCAACCTTAAAAGTATAATTTAATAATAGTAGACTAAAAAAAGAGAATTTTTGTTTCTCACGAATTAAACTAACTCATGTGAAAAGTAGTGTACTAACATACTGATGCCTGTTGGAAGCTGTAAAAGAAGTTCCACCAATCCGAGAAAATCTCAACTAACGCATGGTAAGTTGGTCTACAATGAGTGTAATCTAGATGGTCCATCGAATGTCTTAAATTCTGTTTTCAAGGTAATTCTCCTTTTTTAAAATAAAAAATAATGCAACCAAAGTAATTTTCCTATTCTTTTTTTATTTTTCTTTTTTTTAAGTAGTTTTCCACTGCTACTCTAATATATACTTGAAAATTATGTAAGTGTGAATTAAAATGTTTGGTTTTTTTTTCTTTACAAATACCATTTGATTGTTATTTTTGTTTTACGTTTTGAACTTATAAAAGCAACAATTAATTAACAACTAAATGCATGGTTTTGTTTTCATACGGTACAATTATGTTAGGTGTTTATTAGAAAGAAAAATAAAGCAAAATTATTAGAATTGTTGAGTTTTGGTTTGATTAAAAGTTAAAATCTTAATTGATTAGAATTTTTGTTATATACAATATTGAGTTGTTGTACAATTTTAAACGTCTTGTGTTTTAATCATAATCTACTTTAAGTTTTTATATTATAAAAATGAATTTTTAAGTTTTAAAAGTAAAATAATGACTTTGAGAGTCCTCGAGAATAAATACTGTTTAGGTAGTATTTTTTTAAAAAAAAAATTAAGAGAGGGTGTAGAAAGGGTTTTTAAAAAAAAAGTTTTATTATATTCTAATTTCTTAATATGTTAGACCTTCGTAAACATAAACAAGAAGTTGAATTAAGTAAATTTTTAAATTTTTTTATTGGATTGATTTTTCTGAATTTATCATTGGGTAATTTTCATAACAAGAACTTTTACTCAATCAATTAGTCATTGTTTTTGTACTACTTATTCCCTTTTTTAATTTCAATCAGTTATGAATTGATATTGATAATATCAAATTAACCACATAAACATAGAGTAGAAAGCCTGAAAGACCAGCAGTTTCCAGCCTAAAGAAATCGAGCGGGAATTTGCAGCGAATGTTGCGCCTGCTTGATTCAAACAATCAACTGATAGAGCCTTTAAATTGCCAGTTTTGTCTACATAGAGCCTAGGGATGATCCCACTAGGGTCATCTCTCAACGTGATGGCGTTGCATTTTTTTAGATGCAGCCGGCAAACGTGACCCCGGAAATGGTCTGGCCTTTGAGAGATGAGCTACCTAGCTACTACTAGAAAGCTATTCCCTTCTTGAACGTTCGATCGAGCTAGGAGACGTAGCACACATGGTCATTTAATTAAGGGCGACAAGAGCATAACAGTTAGGTAATACAGAAATGAATGCTGAAACGTGGGGGACGATGACGATATAAGTATGCAACTATACATATATATCGTACATGCTGATGATCAGTTATTGCCATTGACATTGAGATTTGCATGTCACGCATGCATATATATATATATATATGTGTGTGTGTGTAGTCTCTTCACACGTGGGGCTCGTCGGGTCCCAAGGAAGGCAACATGGACCACTCTCCAAGAAATATTCATTGTTTCCAGCTATAGTACTGTCATTGATATTTGGCGATCCATCAATATCTCAAAGCTCATTTTATATGAATATAATACCAGTTCTAAGTACTGTTAACTGATTGAAATAGTTACCTATTTTAAGTCAAAGCATGTCTCTTTCTTTTATATAATAGTTAGAGTTATAAAATACAAGAAGAAGGAATAACTCTCTTCGTTTTCTCATATATCTTCCATCTCTAATGAAACGAGAATCTGATGAGGATCCATCGATCTAAGTACGTGTACAATCAATAGAAAGCTGGCAATAGATTTTCAAATCAAAACATAATTAGGTTAAGATAAAATTTGACGATGATGATCAGATTGGCTACAGGTACAAAATGCACTTGCATAGAATTAGTAGTGGCCTATATCCTTATATTCTCATGCAATGGGAAAGCTGGTTGGGATGGAATCATATTTCTTGCCATCATATTTTCTAGTAATCTTTTAGAGTGCGTGACCGCTCAAGCCTGCCCCATCTATGGAGTAATATAAGAATTTTTTCTAGATTGCTGAGGGGGTCCATGAAACTTCGTACCTGTCCATGCTGAACAGTGTGCAAGTACAATGGAATGATGTTTTCTAGTGGATGATTGCATTATGTTATGCATAAAATTCTTTAAAAGAAAGAAAGAAAAAAAAAAGAAAGAGAGAGAGAGAGAGGTTGATTTACTTCTTCCTTACTGATTTCAAACATTTTCTTTATCATTTGGTGGGTCTTAACATCATATAAATGTGGAAAAAAAATACTCCAAAATAGTACCGGAAGATAATCATCTGCTTGTTCTGGAAACTCTCTCAAGTATTTTTCAATCAAATTGGTATTTAATTCCAGTGATATGAACGACTTTTAGAATGTTATGATCACAAAAAGAGAATTTTTGAACCAAATGACTGAGCTGATTGATTCATGACCCTCCAACTACATAACCCTAATCATTACTTTTGAGCTAATGTGACATGATGTCCTAACTAAATGTGAGGTTAAGTCTTTAATACGTAATATATAAAGGTCCTCATTACGACTCACTAGAAAATAAGGCCCCTCTTTAGAGAAAATAGAAATGTAATCATTTCTATCTACTTGCTACTATTTTAGTAATAAATGTATGAAATAATTTAGCCCTCCTTCGGTTAATTAAACTGTAGATTAATCAAATTAAGATGAAAAATACAAAGAGAAATTCCTTTGGTAAGATCATTAAAAAGGGGCGTGGGGGGGAGGGGAGGATAGACAAGGGCACATGGACCCTAAGTAAGGGTGGGCACGGAAAACTAGAAGAGATTTTGCCCGCCTAATTAAAAGCTTTGGGGCGGCTGTCACGTAAAGAGTGAGTATCTCCGCCCCTCTCCTACGGCTAAGATTTTTAACTTTAATCTCAAAGTGCTTTTTGGCCTTACTTTAGTTGAACCTTTGCTTATATAATCAGTTAAAAGTTGATTGAATGATTAATTATGGGTGATTCTCACTAATTATTCCCAACTAACCCTAGCTACCTTGTAAAATGCGCACATTGTTTTCCTTTGGTTATCCTAAAGTAACCATGTTTAAGGGGCTTAATGATTTTAATTAATTAAGATCTAAGATTGATGCAATAACTTGATGACTAGGAAGCCCTGTAGATTATTTTATTGGATGGTATGCAATTAAGTTGAATTTTCTCGTTCTTTTACTCTTATATAATTCATAATTAATTTTCAATTATGAAATATAATCAAATTTGCCATTGACTTAAGAATTGAACACAAAAAATTCTTCATAATCTTAAATTTGACAGTGCAAGAAAGAAGAGGAAGGAGGTGGGAACATAAATACTACTATTTCCTTTTCTAAGCTCAATAAAGCAAGCACTACTTGATTTGGCCTTAACGAGGAGAGTCCTAGTTTGACTGGCGCAATTACTTTTTCCTTTAATATAGTAGATTAACTAGTGGTGCTTTTAGCATATACGGTTTAAAAACATATAGAGAGAGTTAAAAGTTGAAAGTTGTAAGCAGTGTCTAGGAAGAGTGGTGCTTGTGGGAATATTTCTAACAAAACCGCATTGATTCCAATCAACAATGATTGAGAATGCTCGGAAACCCATATATCCGAAGGGGAATTACTTGGAAAAAAACATACAATAAAGAGCCACTCTCCCCCATAAGGCAGTCCAATCAGGTCAAAACTATTAAATGATGGTGGATCCAATGGGGGTGGGATGAAAAAAATATATATAAAAGAAAGGGTAGTGATGAAAGGCTATAATTGGTGCATACTTTTGCAATTTTCACGGGGTTATGGCTTTCAACCATGCAAAAGGATCAATAAAGAACTTTAGGTTTTACTGTCTCTTTATGGCACTAAACAGTGGGGAAAAGATTTTGAATGCAAAGACCTGCGAAAAGGAAGAGTGATACTGATATGGGAGGGAAAAGAAAGCAAGTGAAAAAGCAAGATGAAGAATCTCAAGGCATGTAGGCGTAAAATGGAAGCAATGGATGCAAAATCATAAATCAAATCCTTTGATTTGAGCTTTCAAAAAATGCGAACTATGGATTCCTTTCATGTCCAAAGACAACACGTCGATCCTCTCTTTTGAATTATGATTATTGTTGCTCGTGAGAAGAAAAAAAAAAGGGAGAAATTTGGGTCCTCTCAATTCCCAAAAGCAGCCCTTTTTCCTTTCCGAGGTCGGGCCTTTCAGCTTTGTATCAGACATTTTTTCAGGACCCCTCACTCTCTCTTATTTTTCCTTTTAAAAGTAAGACGTT